GCAGCACAGAGCAGCGCGCGGAGCAGCAGGAGTGACAGTCTTTACCACAGCAGCAACAGGGGCGGCAACGACAGCAGCAGCAGCAGCGACAGGAGCGGCAACAGCAACCGGGGCGGGAGCGGGAGCGGGAACGGGTGCAGGTGCAGGTGCAGGTGCAGGCGTGGGAATGACAATCGGAGTCGGGACGGCAGAGATGCGCTTGCTCTCCGCGGGCACGTCAGCAATCTGAATAATGATGCGGGGCTTGCTGGTGTCGGCCGTAAAGTCCTTGTTGGCGATCTTGTCGTGCGCCATGACAGCCGACAGGAACTGGGGCGTGCTGAGCAGCGCACGCACCGCTTCGATCTGCGCGCCAGACTTGCCTGCAAGCGTCTCGGTCAAAAAGTCCTTGACGAGCGTGAGCGCGTTGTTGGTCGACGGAGCCAGGCTCTGCTTGCCATGCGCGCCGACCTGCTGGTGGATGTCGTACAGCGCCTGGAAGCGAGGGCTGGTCAGGTGCGACTTGAGCGAGGCCTCGTCCACGCCACCCAACTGGCCCTTGTACTGGTCGAGGAGGGCGACCACGGCCGTGAGCGAGTTTTCTGTGTCAGGATTTTTTTCAAGCGGAAGATGAGCGCAAGAATCAAAATGACAAAAAAAAAAAAAAAGACAAAAAAAGGCAAAAATTTAAATCAAAAAAAAAAAAAAAGCGGTTGGAATGATAAAAAGAAAAAAGAAAAAAAAAAAAAAGGCCCCAACGCAACCTCGTGTGAACGAACGAGACATCGACAGCAACGATGGGGTCTGCCACAAAGTGAACAACCAGCAATTTGCAGCAAGAGCGGGCACACGCGGCGTCGCTCGAGGAGTGGATTCAAGACGCGATCCCTGCCAAAAAGCCTTTTTTTTTTTTTTTTTTTTTTTTTTTTTGGATTTGGATTTTTTTTTTTTTTTTTTTTTGTTTTGTGCTCGACTGTTTGGGAAAAACCGCATTGCGGGACGCATCGTGCCGATGGAAGAGCGAAAAGAGCGATGACACAACAGCGCCCGACTTTGCTCCCTCCGACTCTCGTTCGAGGCGCTCCATCGGCCCGCGGATGCTCGTTCAACGTGAATGTGGGGCGTGATTGGATTTTTTTTTTTTTTGTGTGTGTTGCTGGGATTGCATTGAGCCAAGACGCGAGATCTCGCTTTTGCTGCGCCGCGCTCTCCCACCGACAGTGGCCAACAGAGCCCCACTTTCCCGAGAGACTCAAGAGCGAGCAGTCTACCACAGTCCGTGGTGGATGGTCGTCGATGTTGCTCTAGGGCAGCGATGGGGAAAGAAAAAAAGGCAGCCAACGAAAAAAAAAAAAAAAAAAAAACGAGAAAAAAAAAAAAGCCGGCTAGACTGCGGCGGCGAAATGTTGCTCCGCCCTGACGACGCGCACTTGTTCAGCAGCACTCGCGCACTGCTCACGACGAGGAGCGATGCCGAGGCGATCGAGTGGTGCAGGGGATCGCGAGCGCGAGGAAGGCACCAGAGCACACTCACCTTGAGACATTGTGACTTTTGAATTCAAAGAGAAAGAAAAAAAAAAGCAAAAAAAATGAATGATTTTTTGGTTTTTGAAAAAGCGCAAAACCCCCCCCCCCAATGATGTGATGTTGTCTCACTCGTGAGCTTTTGGGTCGGGATGGAGCAACATGCGAGTGCCATTGCGATTTTGCGACATGGTTGGACCAGGAGAGCTGTCGGCTGATTCAGAAGAGCGAGAGCGAGAGACGTGTTTTTTTTTTTTTTTTTTTTTTGGGTTGACAGTCGACCAAATTTGGCTCGTCTGCAGACATCACTGCTCAAAGCACGAGGGACACCTCAGCTCCTGAGCCTCAGAATACAACAACCCTTGCTCGAATCGAGTAACTTTCAACTTGTTTATTTTTGTTTTGTTTTTGTCGTTTTGTACGACCTCGAACATTTTGTCAAAAATCGTAAAAAAAAAAATAAAAAAAAATTCACAGCTTGGATTTCTCACCCGGCAAATCACACAAAAGGGGGTGATCGCGGTGGCCGTGCAAAAACCAAACCACCAGCAGCTGTAGAGCATGGAGGGTTAGACATCAAGTGTCTGTCAAAAGTAGCAGCACAACACACATCCAAAACAACCGAAAAAACACAAAAGAAGACAAAAGAGAAGACAAGGGCTCGGACTTTAGAAACCGTGGACCTTGAGCTGCTCCTTCTTGGCAAGATCAAACTTGACAAGGAATTCGCAAATGCTGTTACGCTGATCGCCTTGAAGTTGGATGACTTCGCCGTACTCGGGATGCTCGACAATGGTGCCGTTGCAGGCAAACTCCTTCTTAAACGCCTTGACCAACTTCTTCTTGTCAAACTCCTCGCCAACGCCTTGGACAGTGGTCAGTGTCTTGCGGCCGTTACGCTGCTGGATGCGGATGTGAATGTAGTTGCCGCCAGGCGCGTCCTCGCTCTGGTCGTTTGCAAAGGGGTCTGCCAACACGAAAACAAACAAAACAGAACAACAACAAAAAGAAAAAAAAAGTGAGTGCCAGTTGCCAACAAAGAATCACAAAGACAAGCAAATGAGGATGGTTTGCGGCATTAGAGCTGAAAAAGGCGGAAAAGGCTGAAAAGGCTCACATAAAAAAAAAAAAAAAAAAGCCCAATGCAAACTTCATAGAAAAAAAAAGAAAAAAAAAGAAAAGTGAAAAGCGTGTCGCAATCATCGTCGTAGACATCCAGACATCCAGTTCGGGAACAGCGGTGCTCATCAGCCAAAGGCAAATGCTATCACAAAAGCACCCCACCACGCCACAAACCACCAAGCACCCCTTTCTGTTATCGATCAGTGATAGACGAACAAGGAGAAAAAAAAAAAAAAAAAAGAAGCGAAAAAAAAAAAAAAAGCTTCCTGTTCTCGGTCTTCGACACAGAGAGCGTCATCGTGTCAGCAGCGAGTCGCTCGGCGTCGCTGTTCGAATAGAGACGAAGAGGGCGTCGTTGTTGACAACGGAGGCGGAACAAGGCAGACCGTCGCACACTTGCAGCGACGGTGAGCTCGGGCTGAACGACCAGAACAAGGACGACGACACATGCTGGCGCAAAAACGAAACGACACACGAGCCGCCCGTCCGTTCGGTGTCCCATCCAATGAACACAGCAAAGTGACAGCGACATGCATCCGAAAGGCCCAATGACGGAGCACGAAGGGGGGGGGGCGAGCCGGAGGATGGGAAGAGCTTCTTACCGAGCCGCGAAGGCACAAAGTTCTGGATAGTTGCCATGTTGAAAGACTGAGCACCTAAGGTATGGTTCAAATTTGGAATGAAAACGGTCGAGATACTTGGTCAAGTCTAGGACCGAGCGGGGATGGGTGGGAAGGGAGAAAGGAAGGCGACGACCGTACCAACACCGCGCAAATCCCCAACACCACAACGACGAGCTGCAACAACGATGAAGAGGATTAATGGGGTTATTCTGAACAACAAAGAATCGAGCAATGACATCCAAGGAAACCAAGAAACACAAAACAACAAGAGCGCTTTCATTAGCTGTGGCCGTACACAACGTTTGCCAATTCCGCTTGCTTCTCTTGTGTGCAGGGAGCAAGATACTTTCGGCGTTGCGCGGAATCAGCAGCGAGATACTGGCGCAGGACATTGGCAATTCGTCCGGATGCTGCGCCATCACCAAAGACGTTCTGGCCTTTGATGCGTTGGTGATACTCGACCAAGTTGTCAATCACGTTCTGCGTGTCGCTGACAACGCGATCCTCGTTCGTGCCAGCAAGCCGGACGGTGCCTGCGTAGACACCCTCAGGACGCTCAGTTGTTTGACGCAGCAGCACGACCGGCTTGCCGATGGACACGGCCTCTTCTTGCAGGCCGCCCGAGTCGCTGAGAACGATGGTGACCTCCTGGAGAAGATAGGTCAGGACGTCATAGTCGAGCGGGTCGGTCAGCGTGATGCGGTCGACATTCTTCAAGTGCGCGAAAACCACTTTCTGCACGTTCGGATTGAGATGCACGGGGAACACAACGCGCACGACGGGGTTGTCTTCCACAATGCGCTTGACGGCGCGGCAGATCGACTCCAGCGGCTCCCCAAGGTTCTCTCGCCGATGGCTGGTTACGAGAATGATCACAGGCGGAGCGTCGTTGACATCGCACGCACCGCCGGTGCAGGTCTGCAGCTGGGCAATGAGGCGGCGCGCCGCAGCGGGCGGGTCGGCGTTCAACCGCGCCAGCACGGCGTCCACGCCCGTGTTGCCGGTGACAACAATGTTTCGCGCACACGTGTTTTCCCGCCGAATGGCTTCTGCAGCGTATTCTGTGGGCGCAAAGTGGAACGTGGCAAACGAATCGATTGCGCGACGGTTCATCTCCTCAGGGAATGGGTGGTTGAAGTCGAACGACCGCAGCCCCGCCTCGACGTGGGCCACTGGGACGCGCTCGTAGTAGGCTGCCGTGGCGCACGCAAGTGCAGTCGACGTGTCTCCTTGCACCAGGACCACCTCGGGCCTCAGCGACGCAATGACGGCGGTCGACTGCGCGACCACGGCGGCGAACAGCGCGCCCAGATTCTGGTTGTGCTGCATGACACTGAGGCCGAGATCAATCTTGAGGTCAAAGCCGCGCAGTGTCTGCGCAAGCATTTCCCTATGCTGGCCAGTGCTCACCACGATCGTGTCGAATACGTGGCTGTTGACCGAGTTCTCCTGCATCTCGTGCACGAGCGGTGCCATTTTGATCACTTCCGGCCGCGTGCCCACAAACACGAGTGCCAGCGGTCGCCGTCTCGCCTGGTTCTGCCGATGTTGGGCAAGCTGGTGCAGCTGGGCAGCGAGTGCAGCCGGCAGGGGCGAGACTGCGTCCCCGGAAGCGCCGGGCTGCTGCTCCGAGAGCTGGACGTCGACGTTGTCGGGGGCGGGATTTCCGAGTTTCCAGCCATTGAGGCCCGTGCTGGACGACAAGAGCGCCAGTGCGACAACCAGCTCAAGCATAAACACCAACGCCAGCACGGTTGGTTTGCGCACGAAAGGGGGCAGTCGAAAGCTGGGCATGGTGGTGGAGCAGCTCTTCAGGGAGCAAGAGAGCAAGAAACAAATGGAAATGAGGGGACTGGCCTATGCTATGCAAAAAGCAATCACATCATCAACAATGGAGCGGGGGTGCGAGAATGAGAAAAGGTGTATCGAATACAAATGAACACTCCCGAAAGGCGGGAGAAGAGAAGGAAGCACCGAAAAAAAAAAAAAAAAAAAAACTAGCGAACGAGACCAACAGGACCCACATCACTGCGATGAATTGAACCAGTCAACCAAAGCGTGTGAAGAGGCAAGGGGGCTTGGCAAAGCAATGAAGACCCACCAAACAAACGAAAAGCAAGAATCACAAACGAATTGCGAACACACACAACAACAACAACAAAAAAAACAAACAACAAAAACAAAATCAAGTCTGCTTTCACAAGACGCGCGAGTTGCGCCCTGCGCGCCGGCCAGGTGCCGAAAAGACGGGCAAGTTGGCTGCTCGTTGTAATTGTTGCTGTTGCTGGAAGTGCATGGCCATGAGGGCAGCACCGCTATTTTGATGTCCATCGGGCGTAATCATCATCATATCGTCCGACGACGGTTCATACTCAGCCGACACGTCGCGTGCCACTTGGGGAATGGCCAAACCGGCACCAAGCGCAAAACTCCTGCTGCCAAGACCCGGAGTGGTGGTAGCGCCGAGCAAACTCGAGCCCGCGCGAGGATTGGCACGATACTTGGAATTGCCACCGTCATAAGTCGAGCCGTTCAACGCCATCGCTACAGCGGACATGGAGTCATCATAGCTCCCTGCCGTTTGACTGTGGTTGGAACTGATGCTGCCGGTGCTCAAGTTCAGCATGTCTTGTTCTTCCTCGACATCGTCGTCGTCGTCGTCGTCTTGCGCGGCTTCATCGTTGTCATCGTCGTCGTCATCGTCGTCGTCGCCGTTCACTTGGTTTGGTAGCGCAGCGGCATTCCAGTACTGTGGTCGCAAAACCACCCAAAGCGAAAGAAGAAACAAACCCCAACACCACGGTCAGAAAAAAAAAAACAACAAAAACCAAAAACAACTCCGATACCCACAAAACCAACAAGCCTCCAACTACAGCAACCTCCCAAATACACCCCAGCATGACCAAGAGCCAAGCAGTAAAACAAGCAGCATACCTGATAAAACGGTTCAATATATCGCTTGGAGCGACGGAGCGAATAGGGATCGAAGGGGAAGAAGGCTTCGAGAACACTGGACGCCGGCAGAACAATCTTCTTGTTCCGATCGATAATGTTATGGCAGTAGACGAGTTCGTACGCTCGGGTGATTTTGGCAAACTCCTTCACAACGTAGGGAAGAACGACTTTGAGAGGGTTGAAGCGACAGCCGACGATTCGCTGGAAGCACAATCGCTGGATGAAAGCAATGCCATTCTCAAGGGCGAGTAGCTCGGCATGCCGGTAGCAGAAGGTGTACATGGCCGCTTGGCACGTGTAGAAGAAGACGCTGTGCTGGGCAACGTTCACGAGCTCTGCGGAAGCAACCTTATGCTCGTGCACTTCAATATACTGCAAGAGCCAGTTGCAGGAGACCTCCAGACACTTGCACACCATGGGAAGCGGAAGGTACTTGGCGCGCGCCACAAAACTGGCCATGTACGACGCAGCAGACTGCCGAATAGCCGTATGGCCACCTTCCACGAGAGCCTTTTGCAAAATAAAGCCGAGAAACAGCTCTGCCAGGCGAGGATCAAAGCTGCAAATACGGAAGAGGAGGAACTGCACAAAGCGGGAGCGATGGGTGGGCAGGATGCGGTGCTCAAAGTTGCGAAGCAGGATCGTGAAAAGTTCATACACGATCAGGTCGCCGCTGACCGCCAATCGACACGTGTCAATGTACTCGAAAAGCAGATGCATCATGCCATCCATCTTTTGGACCATCTCCATCGCAGGCGAGAGTCGTTCGGGGGCAGTGACCGCGCTGCCGTCTTCGTCGCTGTCGTCGCTGTCGTCACTGGCTGACTCGTCATTGTCGGATTCGTCGTTGGCGTCGCTCTCGTTGTCTTCGCCATCATCGGCCTCGTCGTTCTCATCATCGACTTCCTCGTCGTCATCATCTTCATCGTCGTCGTCGTCATCGTCGTCGTCGTCGTCACCATCATCAGCGTCGTCGTCTTGATCGGCAGGAATCTCGACATCAATCTTGAGCATTCGATCAATCGTCAGCTCGACAATCTGTTCGCGCAAAAGAGGAATGTAGAGCGACAGCACCAGAATGTTGCGCAGGAAGGCTTCGTGGTCGTTTGCACTCTTTCGTCGATGCGGGAAGGCGTCGCAAATGGCAGCCATCAACGTCCCGAGACTTGTAGGCACGCGTGCAATGACGGTCGAAATGGCAATATGGGTTCGCTGCGACACGACGTTGAGCGCAGCAATGGCGAATGTGTTGTCGGCGGGCAGTGGCAGCGGTCCGCTGTTGCCTGCGCTCGCAGCGGTCGACTCTGTTGGTGGTGGTGGTGGTGGTGGTTGGTGCAGCGAGGCAGCGGCTTCGGTCGTGTGAGATTCAACTGCAGCGGCAGCAGCAACAGCACCAGCAGCCGCAGCGACTGCAGCAGCTGACGAGGTGAGATTTGTGTCGAGGTCGGACCGTGGAAAGAATCCCCGAACAAGGAGCTTGAGCGATGGAATGGCATAGAACGCATGCGCCGACAGCAACATGTCGAGGAAGACAATGTAGGTTTCGACAAACTCGTCGTTTTGGCCAACCCATTCGACCGACAGGGCTGCGTTGACCAACTCATGGCACTTCTCGTTCAGCACTGAAACGCACACCGTGAGGCCTTGGAGCCAGCGCTCCATCGCGGTCGGGTCGGACTTTGCATTTTCCCTGGCCATGGCCACCTTGGCGATCAAGTCCTTGTACCGTTGTGGGTTGCCCTGTGATGATTCGCAAACAACGACAAACGGGCATTTGTTGCAAAGTGAGTGAGAGTTGTTCACGCGAATGGAAGGTGATGATGATGACGAACTGAATCCCTCCATTGCACAATCAACAGCAACGGAACTTGCTGAACGTGACTTATTGCGTCTGGTCCACCATCACAACCACAAAGAAGAAGAAGAAAAAGAAGAAGACACTGTCTTTGGTTTCCACCTTCGCGCAACATGACGCTCCAAAACGGACATGAGCCAAAATGCTGCGCAATGCATTGGCAACGCAATGGACTCTCCGCCATGGAAAGGCCAACGTGCGAGCATTTCGTGCACCACCACGGAGCACTGCTTTTCGACCTCCCATCCGCCCGACTCATGCTTGCAGAAGTGGGTGGGCGGTGGCCAGCGAAGGGTGGACCTCATGGTGTGAGCGAAGAGCGCCACACGCGGGAAACACGAGTCCGCCGCTGCTTTTTTTGCTCGCCCCCCCATTCCCGCCTCACACTGGAGACAACCACAGCATCGCTTGCGAGCTACACTCTATCACTTGCGTCCGATTGCAATTGGGAGGGGCTCCAAACCAGCCTGGTGGTGGTCTATTTGGGAGCAGCATCCAGCCAAAACGCAAGCCAAAAAAAAAAAAAAAAAAAAAAAAAAATCATACACGAGCACTCACCGATTGGCGTTCGGCAATCGCTTCGACAATGTACGCGCCGACAATCTCTGCGCCGTGGGGCGTGGACGGCGATTGCGACTGGGGCAGGGTGGCTGTTGTCTGTGGCAGCAGGTGCTGCTGTTGTTGTTGTGTTGCGCGCCCGCTGACAGAAGAAGAGGTCTGAGCAATCCTGGTCCGTGTCGGAGTTGCACGCATGGCTTCATCGTCGCTGTCGTCGAGGTCGCTGCTGCTGCTGGTGCTGCTGCTACTGATGGCGTCGCTGCTGGATGCTTGGACCCGCGCTGTGTGTGCGTCGCTGGAGCTGGACGATGTGCGGCTGCGCTTGGGCGGCGAGGCGGGCGTCGTGCTGCGGCCTTTGCCATGGCTGCTCTTGTTGCTCGCGTGGGACGCCGTCGCCACAGCGGACGCGACGCGTGAGTGGTGTGCGCTCTGATGTGATGCCTGCAAGTGCGATAGTGGCGGGGCAGAGGACGCTGCCTGGCCTGTGCGCCGTGGTTGCGCGTTGGGCTTTAGCATCATTTCACACTAAAATAGAGTCACGGAAAAAAAAAAAGACTGAGAAAAACAAAAATGAAAAATGTTCTGTTGTCCACTAAAACAATATGAATTCTACAGTATTAAATAAATGTACACAGGCAAGGGAGGGAGAGGGCGAACAGAAGAAACAATGTTACGAGAGCCGAAAACAAACAAGCAGCTCATTCGCGTGGTTGGGTCATCCAGGACAGCGTTTGGAGGCCTTCTGCAGACAAGCGTTGGCCATTGTCTCTGAAACCACGACAAAACAGCGTCACCAAACGAAAACCGAAAAAAAAAAAAAACAGAAAAAACAATGAGTGCTCACGTCCGAACGAGGAGCAAAGCCACATTTCGCACACAAACTCACCGTTGCAAGCAGAGAAGCAAGAATTGGGAGGCTGGAGTGCTCAGATGAAGCGGAAGCGGCGGCGGACCAGTGGCCGTGCCAATACGGAACAATGCAGCGAGGGGTTCCAGTTCCGACCACGGCGGGCGGCCGGTGAACATTTCGATGATGGTGCAGCCAAGGCTCCTGCAAAGTGACAAGAGCGATGGCTTAGAAACCAAAACAACCCCCCCTCCTTCGCCGAGCAAACCACACAAGACTTCAAGCACGACCTACCAAATATCTGACTTGCGTCCGTAGCCCGAGCCATTGACAACCTCTGGTGCCATCCAATAGGGCGTGCCAACTTGAGACTTGCAGTTGGACATGATTCGGATGCTTTGCAAGCGTTTGGATGCGCCAAAGTCTGCCAGTTTAACATTGTCGCCAGAGTCGAGCAGAATGTTGGCACCCTTGATGTCCCGATGCACAATCATGTGCGAGTGCAAATATTGCAAGCCTCGCAGAATTTGACGCGTGTAGCGAACAACGCGGTCTTCCGCAAAAGGACCAACCACTTTGAGCTGTGTTGCGATGGAGCCACCAGGCATGTACTCCAAGAAAATGCACAGGCGCTTGTCGGTGCGCTCCGTTCCGAAATACTGCACAATGGAATCGTGTCGCAGATTCTTCAACAGAGCAATTTCCGATTCCAGCGATTCGAGTTCCTAAGAGTACAAGTTGTAGTGGCGTGGGGCAAATGGAATTTGCAGACGATGTGAGTCAACAACGATGCAGTGCAACGAGCAAAAAAATTATTTCAGTCATAGTATCGACCAACCTTCGTCATGTCCATGCCACCGGCCGTGTAATCGACCGTTTTGACAGCCAAAAAAGCGCCAGTGTCCTCGTCCACACACAAAAACACTTGGCCAAACCCGCCAGCGCCGAGCAACCGATCCATTCGCCAGCGAACTGGCTTGCGACGCTCTCCCTGCGGCAGCGCACCAAACGAGCCTGTAAACTGCTGTGCTTGCTGCTGCTGCTGCTGTTGCTGCTGCTGAAGAGCGCGCTCTTGAAGCGCTAGCTGCGTGGCAGCGGGTTGGGCTCGCGGTTGTTCAAATTGCGGTGCGATGAAAGGCACACCTTGCTGCTGCTGCTGCTGCTGCTGCTGTGGCGGCTGCCGAAGAGCAGGGTGATGCTGCATGTAGGAAGGCTGCTGCTGCTGTTGCTGCTGATACTGCATCAGCAGTTGTTGTTGTTGTTGTTGTTGTTGTTGTTGTTGTTGTTGTTGTTGTTGTTGTTGTTGTTGTTGTTGTTGTTGTAGTTGCTGCTGCTGTTGTAGTTGCTGTTGCTGCTGCAGATACTGCTGCTGAAGCATAAATGCTGACTGGGCTGCTGGAGGCTGGTGAGACGAAGCAATCATCGCCGCGCGGGATGGTTGGGACGCGGCACGAGACCGAATGGGCGTCAATGCAGAAGAGTCTTCGTCTTCTTCGCGGAAAAATTCAGCAGGGGATTGGCCGATCGACGCTTGAGCTAGATGCACGGGTGCATTGTTCCGACCAGCAACCAACGTCTGCTGACCTCCCCCGGCAGCCAGAGTGCTCACATTCAGCGCCGGTCGGGGCCGAACGGCTGAATCGGTGAGCCCTCGAGGGCGGAAGGGCTCAAGCGGCGGCTCCTCGTCCGCGAGTTGCGGAATGATACCGCCTGGGGGCTGCGCCACTGACTGCTGCGGCAGGAACGTCTGAGCAAAGGAGTGAGGAGGCGCTGGATGCCAGCCGCCGGCGACAGTGCCTGCAGAGAATCCAGTTCCCGCGGCACCGACAGGAACCTGGGCGGGATGGTGGAACTGCGCAGCTGCAGCTGGCACAGCGGGGAGACCTGCGTGCACGTCGATGGATGGAGCACTGAGAGAACGTGCAAACGTGGACGGAGCAGGAACGAGCGATCCGCCAAGCATGATGCCTCTGGTCGGGGCTGGCACAGGCGTTTCTGCTAACTCGGATGGAACGCCGTTGAACGAGCTTCGCGCCAGGAACGAGGTTGGTCTCGAAGAGCGACGCTCGGTGGGCTCAGTATCGGCAAAATTCACGCTGCCCGAGCTCCCGTAAGCGTCTCCTGCTGCGTCGCTTTCCGAGTCTGGTGCTTCGCCAAGGGTGGAGCTTGAGCCGACGCGGAAGTGTAGGTGGTGCGCAGGTAGTCCATTCTGATGCACGTGTGAATCCTCGTCATCGTCATGGTCGGCGATGAATTGGCCACCGGCGTCGGGGCCTGCTTCAGTTTCAACGGCGAGTCTTGCACGATTTCCAACGTCAGCTCGCTCTGTATCATGGCCCACACCGCTGTCGTACTGGGCCATGTTGGATCCGGAAGACGCGCGAAACAAGGCAAGGAAATTTTCGCTGCTCACCTCGGGTGGGATGGATGAGCGTCGCTGTTGGCTGATGAAACCAGGGGGAGGCGAGTTGGGCGCGGAAGCATCACGATCAGGAGGACTATCCAGTCTCGAGTTCGACGGGAATGACACGATCGACACGGGTCGGGAGGGTGTAGAGTTGACATTGCCCAGACTTCGACGTCGAGCGAGCACCGTGGCGCCCACTGGAAGAAGCGTAAGCTGCGGCGATGTTCCATTCGGCAACGCCAGCGTCTCGCTCGATGGCGCGGACGATAAGCCGGCAGATGTGACCGCTGCGGTCGTAGCAGCAGCAGCAGCAGCAGCAGCAGCAGTCGACGTAACTGTCGGCATGGCAGGAACCGAGGAGGCCAGCAATGCCGGTCCAATCGACAGGCCTTCTTTGACAGGCGGGTCAAATAATAGCGCTCGGACTCGTGTCAACCCAGAAGTGCTGTCAAACCCTGGGTGAACGGATGAATTCTTGGGCGGCAGTGGGCTGGCGGCGATGGCGTCGAGAGGGAGCAGCGGTCGCTGGTGTTCTGCATCGACAAACGGGCGCCCTTCCGTATACGACCGGGACCGAGGGCGTATTCCAGGTGCAATTAAGCGAGAACGACTACTTGGTGGAGCATTCGACAGAGATACGGGAGCCGCTGGCGCTGGCGCTGACGTCCGAGGTTCCGACTGGCCTATTATCGTGGAAGGGCTCGATGCAGACCCCTCCTGCGAGGGGTGGCTGCTACCATCGTTCGAAAAGCTGCCAGAATCAGAGACAGACGTTGGGAGGGACTGTTGCCGTGGAACTGCGCCCCGTAGGCGTGCTGCTCCCGGGACAACAGGCCCAGCTGGTTTGGCGATCTTGTCGGGTAGCGACAATTCAGCATTGTCTGCTATTGTTGGTGTTGGTGGAACGGACTCAGGCAAGACCTCGAGCGATGTTCGCCGAACTACCGAAGCTGCGGGCTGCAGGTAGGTGGAGGTCGGCGCTGGGACAGAGCTCGCTGCAGGTTCGGCAAAAGCGTCGGCCAGCAGACGTTGCAACATTGCTGTATCGCTCGCCTTCATCGATTGTTGGCGATCTACACGCTGCTCTAATGCATGCCGTTGAAACTCTGAGCTAGTCGAAAGCCCGGCTCTTGCCAGGTGGCGACCGAGCGTCTGAGGTGGCGACGCGTGAGATCGAGGTGAGAGCGAGTCGCTCGATTGCGGGTTGGAAGGAGCTTCAAAGACTTGTGGATTGGTAATGGATGGCCGGGAGCTTCGTAGCGGATTGCGAGACGGCATTGAGTTGCTCCGCGAGTGCGCAAAAGAGCTGCTCGGTGCGACCTTTGGAACTGCCGGAATGAGTTGGAGTTTCAATTGCGAGTGCTCCAAGTCCTTGTCAAAGTTCATCACTGCTTGATCCAGTTCGTATTGTGACTTGATTTCGAGCACATCCGTCTACAGATGCACAACAACCAAAAAACAACAAAAGTCAAATCGGAGCGTGAGAGGTGTGGAAAAACGAACCAAAAAACAAAAAAAAAAAAAAAACCAAACCGATGCACACAAACGGATGACTCGCCTCGAATGAACAGAAGGTGACGGCAATATCAGCCATGTTCAACTTGCTGGATCCGTCGGATGAGAAGGTCTCGCTGATGCGCTCTTTGAGCTTTTGGTAACTTGGTGGCCGATCCAACGAAAACACTCTGCACAGCACAAGAGTCGATAAAGATGTCAAAAACCTTGCCTCCCGACTCCTGCACCTCCCCCTCAAAAGTAAAAATCATAGCTTTTGTGCTGCCTATGATGATGACAAGTTTTTCTAACCTCCGCTCTGTTTGATACTGGCACTTGAACTTGATGCTCGTCTTCCCTTGCTGCAGAGTACAAAAATCGGCGAGTGGTGCTGAGTTGTTCTGGTCACTCTATCCACCATCTGCGCACACCCCAGAAAACAAAACGGTCCAAATGTACCAACCTCTTTCTTGATGAGCTGAACAGCTGTGAGAGGGAGCTGCGGCTGCTGGAATGGAACATAGCCAAGTCCAGAGCTGGCGGTGCTAGCATTGGTTTGCGGCTGCCACACGAGCTGGGGCTGGGACTGCGGCTGGGGCTGCTGCATGGGATGGTGATGAGGGTTGTACATGGCTGACTGGGCGGACTGCGGCGGGTTGGCAGGTTGCCGCGCTGCCACCGAGATTGGGCGCAAAGCCGTGAAGGATTGTCGGTTGCTGCTGCCGGGTGCGTCGCCTCCTTCGCTTGTCGCAGCCGCCGCCGCCGCCGCCGCCGACCGTGCATTGCCAAAGCCTACCAACGGGCTGTTCGATGTTGGCAAGCTGCCGACGGGGAGTCCGGCCATGAGCGGCTCGACCGTGTCTCCTCCGTCCAGCGACATGGAAATGGATGATCAGTTGCTTCTGTACGAGGCCGTCGTCGTCGTTGTCGCTTCAAAGCCGTCGCAGGATGTGATTGGAAACACAAGCAGGGAAGAGTCAGCGACAGTGGAAGGGCGCCTGGGCGCGCGTGCGTCTCGTCTGTCCAAGAAAAAGAGAAAAAAAGAGAAAAAAAAAAGAAAAAAAAAAAAAAAAGAAAAGAAAAAAAAAAAAAAAAAGAAAAGAAATAGAAAATGAATGAATGAGAAACGACAGCAAGCTCGGAAAGTGCAGACATCGAACAAGAGAAAATTCGATGAAAGAAGAAGAAGAAGAAGAAGACGAAGAACAACGACTTCATTTCGATCGATTGGAAACTTGTAGGAATGAACCAAAAAAACGCGCACGCAAGAAAACCAGTCTGCTTTTCGCTCGAGAAGACCAGGGATCAGATTGTACAGACCGAGATGGCATCATCCACGTCGTCGGCAGCGGCCGAGGTGAGTCATCAAGTCCTGTGGATTGTTGACAATGAAGCAGCTTTGGGCATTAAAGTGTTGAGAGAGAGCAAGAGTGTGAGTGAGAGAGAGGCAATAAGCTCGTCACTGAAGTGAGTTCAACTGCGCTCACCTGCTCACCTCACAGCACAAGGAACGCATGAGTGAGGTCGCCATGCTGCAAGATGTGCGAGCATCTCTTGAAGCCATGTCAGCAATGTGCGAGACGATCGAACAGGTGCGTGTGCGCGAGCCCTTGTTTGGTTTTTTTCCCGCCAAAATCCTGTTCCTCATCATCGCTCTGCTCACAAATTCCCTCATCCGCCTTCAATCTCTGAACGACAGGATTTGTCTGTGCTGGCGTATAACTATCGAGACCTAAAAGGTATAGTGCTCTGGACGAAGGTGGGCGGTTTGTGCAGAGTCTGGTTTTAACCAAACAATTTGTGATTCTCAGACGTGAACGCGAAATGGCGCTCAGTCCTACAAAGCACGCCAAGCACCCTGGATCGTCGACGATAATTTGCATGGTTGTTCAATGAAACGAAAAAAAAAATCAGAAACTGTTTTGTTGCACCAAGCCATTTCAAACAAAGGCAGATGCAGGGATCTTTGGAATGCCAATCAACCCGTCTGGAATAGCCTCCACAGTTAGTTGAGGAACTTTTTGCAGTTGACAGCGCCACATAGACACGGAATCTTGTTTTCTTCGTAGGGGAACTTGTAGTCGTAGGTGATTTCCTCACCCTTCTTGATGTCACGTTTCGAGTAGATGACGATTCGCTGGTGCCCGTCGACCATGATAATCTTTGCATAGCAGTTGGGCTGGAGACAGTTAGGGGGGGGGGCAGATAGAGATTGAGAGCATTGAAAAAAAAAAAAAACGACAACAAAACAAAAAAACAAACAAAAAAAAAACAAACAAAAAAATTTGAATGAGCAATGTATCGTCCGCGTGTCCAAGAGCACTCAAACTCAACAATGAACATACCTCACAACAGTGATTCATGAAGCGCGCCAGATTACCCTTGTAGGTCGCGTCAACAACGTGATCTTCGTCGATGCGGAAAAAGTAGCTCGAGCCAATGCCACGCCGCTCGTAGTGGTGCTCGCGAATGTCAGAGATTGACTGGCGAATCACCTCACCAACGTACTCGATAACCAGGTCGTTGGCGCTAATGTTTTCTTGCGAGAAGAGGCCAAATGCGTGGATGCCAGAGCGTTGGAACTTGAGCAGCTTTTTGCGCGACTTGAGCATATCCAGCGAGAAGGTGTCGCTGTTTGTTGCTTGTTCAATCACTGCCGCAAATTGGCGAAGCTGCAGCCGGTTGGCACGGTTGACTGACGCGTTGGCCATGCCCAAGACGCTGGGGCTGCCCGACGCCAAGGCCGTCGACACGGTTGCAGAGCTTGTGCCAGGCGTTTGCGGGCTTGCATCACTCGCGCCAGTGACGGCGTACATTGTATTTCGGAGAGTGCTGTCAAACTTCAGGCCAGGAATGCCCGTCAGGTACGCCGGCGCGCCGTGCATCACGAGCTTCTTGTCTTCATGACTGGGTTTGTAAAAGCCCTCACTTCGTGCACTACCCGTTGCATGAAGGCGCGCCCTCTTGAGTGTCCTATCCTGGTGCGTGAGCGCATCCGAGGCCACAGGGAGCTTGGCGGCGTTCGACAGATACTGCTCCAGATTGCTCAAATTCAGCGGCCAGGTCGCTTCCACCTCCTCGGCCGCGTTGAAGCCTTGCGCCCCACCATCCATACCACGCGCTTCAAGATAGCGCGCAGCGGCTGCAGCGTACCACGAGTCTTCCTCATCAAGGTGCGAGACATCCAGATGGGGCTGGTGCCACGGGTTGTCCGAGACAACCATTCTCATGCCGTTGAACGAGGCAAACATTTGCTCGTCAGCGAGCTTGAGGCGGGCTAGCCCACCCTCGGAAGTCGGCAGAGCAGAGAGTTTTGAGATGTCATCGAGCAACAAGTCATGCAGGACTGGCGGAGGCTCCAGAGATGCTGCAGCTGCTTCGGCGTCCAGATCGTCCTCGTGTGCGCGCTTCCGCGAGGAGGACTTTGGCCTGCTGTCAGGCTTGCCCGCAGCAGGAAGGCCTGCGGCCTCGGAATCATTGTCATCAAGCTCGTGCGCTTTGCGCTTGGCACCACGCGCACTTGAAGCGGAGGACTTTTCATCTTTGAGGCGTTTTTGCGTTCCTTGGTTGGCGAGCGCGTTGGCATGCACGCTCTGCTCCTCCGCCGCAGCCTCCGCTTTTGATGGCTTGCTGGAGTGAGGCAGGTGCTTGGAAGGAGTCTGCTTGGCGGACTTGCCGTCGCTACGGGAGTCTTCAGAATCACTGTCGAGACTCGATTCCGAGGATGATTGGCTACTCTCGTCGCTCTCGTCGTCATCTTCACTATCACTGACTCGGGCGTGGCGCTCAGATCGGCCAGACGAAGACGATTGGCGAGCAGGTTTCGAGCCCCGCTCCTTGGCGGATGGCTTGGTACGCGTGGAATCCTTGCGCTGCGACCCGGCATCAAAGCCGCGTCGTCCGTGTTCCAGACGACTGGAAAGACCAGAGCCGCTCGACGAGGATGGCTGGTGCTCTTGGCGCCTTTCGCTCGCGCCCGGCTTGCGAAAGGAAGGCAACGCCCAGACTGCCGAGCGTCCAGCCGCGCCCGATGCTCCGAGTCCCAAAATATTAGTTTGGAACAAGGGCACGGTGCGGGCCGGTGGGACGGCAGTCGTCGAGTGGGCTTCGCCGTTGCTTTGGGCAGTCAATGAGTTGTTGCTGTCGGTGGCGGCGGCGGTGTGCGAATGCGAGGCATCCCCTGAGCGCTTTGGATCTTTGAGGGTTGCAGCTTGCTTTGCACGCCACTCGAGCAGCTTGTTGAATGCAGGCTTCTCAACATGCTGCGCTCGTAAATCCCGGGCAACGGCGGCAATGAGATCTTGCTGCAAAATTTTAATGACACGCTCCTCCAGAGACTCTTTCGGCACGTTTCGAGGACTGGGTTGGCTTGGTTTGGAAGTGGGCTTGGCTGCGGAAGCAGGTAAAAGTGGAGGAATCGTGGTGGATTGGCGAGGCACAGCAGAGGAAGATGGTTTGGAGCTTGAGGATGCAGAGGACGAGGATGAGGAGGTCGCGGGAGGGGGCGCAGCCGCTTCCGGAAGAAGCGGACGCAGTTTGGGAATGACTGGTGCTGGCTGCGGAGGCAGCAGATGTGGAGGCAGAAGAGGTGGTAGCGGTGGCATGATGAGTTGTGCAGCAACCAGCGGCGGCTTGGCTGCGCCGGGAGTGGGAAGCAATCCGGTAGGTGCATGGGTCGGGATACTTCCACCAGGCATTGATCCAACAGGGATTGTTCCAGGAAGGCCAAGAAGTGGGGCAGCAGGCACAGGCACAGGCACAGGCGCAGGCGCCATTGGACCGCGACTAAGGGAAAGATAAATGCCATCAACGGTGGTTCGATCAAATCGGTTCAGCGCGCGATCGCGATCGTTCGGGTTGAAAAACTCGACAATCCAGATGCGATCGCCGGGGGATTGATAAATGCTAACGACGTAGAAGCTTCGGAAACGGTCCTCCAGCCACTTGCGGCTGAGCAGCTGAGGATTGACATTGACAATGATGTTTGGCCGTTCGATGGAGTCGGGAGCCATTGCAATTGGGTTTTGGGCGGAGGCATATCGATTGTTTCCGACGTGCGCGTCACCCGCACTAGATGCGTGGGATGTCGCCATCGGCGTAGCAGTCGAGACGTCGCTGTCATCCCAGCCAGACGTTGACGGCTTCCACTCCAAAAGTCCCGTACCGGGAGCTCCGCCATCAGAAGGCTTCTTCTGTAAAGGACCTTGGCCCCAGCGACTTGGGGGTGCGGCAGGCTTGGGTGGCTCGGCGAGCAGCGGCGCAGTGTCGGCGGGCGTTTGGCCCCAGCGAGATGCCAGCCGCGCGGGCTCAGTTGGCGGAGGTGGTGGCGGAGGGAGCTCTGGCAGTTGCGTTGGTGGTGGTGGCGGCGGGGGTGGTTGCTGTGGTTGTGTCGATAGTAATGGCGGGGGTCGTGATGTTGGTGGGGGCGTAGGAGTTGCCGGCGTTGGAGCGGGAGCCTGGGTGAGAGGCGCAGCTGCTGTGCCTGTCAGTCTCGCGTATTCTGTTCGCCGTTTAGTCTCTACAAAAAAACAAACCAAAAACAACAACCGAATTGAGTGAATGAATGAAGTGTTTGAGTGCGCAACTTATCGGCCTTACCAGAGCCATCCAGCTCGGCTTTGACTGGCTTGCCCATAAAGGTGCGCCCATCTATCAACGGCAGCAGTCTGGTGCATTCCCGAACGGACGGAAAGACGACACTTGCTATCCCCAGATGCCGTCCGGTCTGCGGATGGTGGTGTACTTTGGCAGTTTCCACAGAGCCCAGTTTCCGCAGCTCGTCCAAAAGGAAGGACGACTCGACATTGTCGTTCAATTCGCTCAGGAATAAGATGCGATTTGGGGCATCTCCGACAGAGTGCTCGTCAAACTGTACTCCATGCGAATGCCAGGTCAGAAAATCTGCCCCAATAGGCCGGACAACAACATCCCACCGCTATCTGACCTTAAATCGAGGAATTGTCAAATCAAGTGTAGCGGTATACCGTGGCGGCCTGCCACGCCGGGGATCGACAACTGTAACGGGAGTGTTCTGGTTGGTTTGGAGCAAACAAAACCGAGACTCGAAGTGAACGAAACGATTTTCAATCTCTTTCAGTGTTGCTCCTATCCATCGCGTATTGCATGGACAGATAGATCGATTGGCTAATTCCGACGACGACTGACGGCAAGGTGAGTGGAGCGTTCGGTGAGCTCTGCTCAACGGAAATGCAGATCATCAAGCCCGACGCACAACGCCGCCTGCTGTGGCGACTTCTACTCCGACTCCGACTACTACTACTACTGCTACTGCTACTGCTACTACTACAGCTGCTCAAACACCAGCAGGGGGAACGGTGCTGTGCAGACCGAGCGATGCTGCTGCTGAACCAGAACCAGCGCGCTCATACTCGAGTGCGCGGACAACCCAAGGACTTCTCCCTTCCCCACCGCCACGTCACTCGGGTGCTTACCGTCTTTGGATCAATGCCGTCGAATCGCCGCTCGAGCTGCGCATGTCGGTCGTGCGAGAGACCCGGATCAACCAGCACCTTGAAGTCCTTTGTCGACGGTTCATTGGCAGCACCGTCTTTCAGTGCGTCCGATCCACGCGCGACCGCATCGTCCTGCGCAGATCCAGACATGAGGGGCAACAAGGGAAGCAGTCAAGCACAGGCGAGCCACGAGTGAAGGTGGGGGGGGGGGAGGAGGCAAGTTCTATTCCAAGGACTCGTTTGTGGCGCTGAAAAAATTAAAAACAAGAAAAAAAAAAAAAAAAAAAAAAGAGTGGCGCCAAAATTCTCGTCTGAGTGTTTGTCTCTCTCTATCTATCTATCTATCTTTCTCCGCATCCGAGTCATTTCGTTATTTAGCCGAAGAAACATGAGGCACAGAGCAGAGTCTTTCCAAAAACGGGCGCTGTCGTTGCTGTTTTTGTTTGTGATTTGTTTCTTCGCTTTCTTTTCCATGAGCACTTTGACCATCTCGCATCCATGCGACCGCCCTTGTGCTTCACTTCAACTGCCAGAAACCGACAACGGAGGTGCTCAAGGCGTACGCTGCTCGCACCAAGTAAACGGCGTCTCTGGAATTTGTGTTGTACAACTGAGTACACTGAGGAGTACCGCTCCTCTTATGTGTGTGCCGAGCAAACGTGTTCTGAACAGTATCGTTTTGTGGTCTGCTGTGCTCGCGAAATTGCACTTTCACTGTTTTTGACCCATGTCACGCTGTGATCGAGTGATCTTTCAATAAAGCTGCTTTCGGCTCTCTTAAGGCTTTTTGAAAATGAAACCCTTTTGGATGCTCGTGCCTTGTTCCACAGCTTATCTCTGAATTCACTCGTTTTTTTTTTCTTCTTCTTCTGTCGTACGATTGTCATACAATGGACTTTTCTGGCCTCAGCCCAAGCGATCAAGCCTACATGGCTCAAGTGCTCGAGCGCAAGCAGGTGCGTCGTCGTCCACCTCGCCTTTGTTTCTATTTCCAACAAACGGGAGTTGTTATAACGAAATGCGCTGTTGGTGGTCGATCGGGAAGGCGAGATTGACTGCGATAGGGCGAGCAGCGAAAAAGGTCCTCATGCATTGCCAAGAGAGCGAGTGCTTGTAGCCATGCATCGCCACGCTTCCTCACTGTGCCCGCTGCTGGGCACGCCCTTTGGTATCTCACAACCAACATCTGACCGTGTCTCAAGCATCACTACGCAAATCCACGACAGCCGCAAGCTCGGCAGTCCTCATGGAGCCCCTCCAATCGAGCGTTGCGCGGTCGCCTCGTGCGCCGCCTCAAACGACCGCGACTATCGATCGTCTACTCTTGCGCAGCAATTCGATAGCAATGGCATCGGGGTTGGATGCAAAAAAAAGGGTTGGAATCGGGGGAACTAGGCGAATACGACCAACATCCCTCCCGTCCACTCCCTGTGCTGGACCGTCTTGCACTCACTTGGCGCGCATCGGCTGTGAACTTCAAATTGTAGATGCAAGATTTTGTGCGCATGTACAACCACTTGTCCGAGCGCTGCTTTTCAGACTGCGTGAACGACTTTACGTCGCGAACCACCACCACCAAAGAGGTATGTTTTGAGAGGCCGGTCTTCCGTCGGTCCGCTGATGGTGTTCCTGTGGTTGCTCCATGCTAACCAAGTGTATATCGAACTTGCATGCATGTCTGTGCATTTCTCCCGGACTTGGATACCGAGCGCAGCAAGGATGCGTCGGACGTTGTGTGCAAAAGTTTGTGCAACTTTCCCAGCGCGTCGGCCAACGTTTTAGTGAACAGCAAGCACTGCAAGCAGAACAACAAGCTGCCGCTGCCGCCGCTGGAACCCGCTAAGCAGCACAGGCGGCGGGTGTCATTGGATTGTATGATTTGTTTGCAGACAACCTTTTTTTCTTTTGTTGTTTTCTGTTCTTTGTTGTCGCATTCACCATCATTCATGCCTCCCTCCGTAGCAAGGGGATGTGCACTGTGGCACACTCAACCGAAAAACCCCCAAATCCAACAAGTTTCAAACAAAGTTAGAAATCACAAGGTGGAATTGAGTAGAAAACACTGGTACACGCACATAAGAACATCCAATACAAGCCATGAAGAAAACAAACACACAAGATAAAAAAACCAGAATTGCAGAGGCGGCAGCATCAGCATCAGCAGGACCGCCTATTGACGGTTTGATTGCTCAAGCCTCGGAATCCATCGCGTACTGGTGGGCAGGCGCTGCGGGGCGGTTCTGGTTGAGCTTTCGCTGGCAGAGGGAAAGCAGGAGTGTTCCGGCGTAAATGCCAGCAGCGATAAAGCAGTTGGTTCCAGTTTTAGATGAGTCGTCGGTATCCTCGAACAGCGAGACGGTCTTGACCTTGAACAGGATGCCAAGGACGATCTGGCAAAAGGAAAACAAGCGAATGCAATGAGTATGTAATGCTTTGATAAACTTGGATCGATTCCCCGATGGTCCGAGTGTTGAAAATCGTTATGGACATGCTGAGACATGCAGGAGTAGACTTTGACCATCCTTTGCATTGCATTGGAGCTGGAACGTTCAATCGTGCAACTCCTCTCTCTGACCCTGCCGTTGCGCCATTTCCAGCTTCACTCATGTTGCCGCGCACAGTCGTTGACTACGAAGCGAGAGAGGGAGAGAGGGAGAGAGGGAGAGAGGGAGAGAGAGAGGGGAGGGCAAACACAAACACAAGCGAGTGCTCCACCCAAAAAAAAAAAAAAAAAAAAAAAAAAAAAAAAAAGAATTGGGGAAAAGCTCAAGTCACAAGTTTTTTTTTTTTTTTTTGTTTTTGACTGGGGAACCATTGAAGCAAAGGAAAGGTGTGCAGCTCGAGCTGTGCGAGTTTCAGAGACGCCAAAAGGGGAGCTAGTGCGGCCATGTGCAGTGCCTGCAGAGTTGAGCACGGCAGCCTGTTCGACGGACCGGCCGTGGTGTGCCAGCGGGAGGACAGCGAGCAGCACGAGTCCGAAAAAAAAAAAAAAAAAAAAAAAAAAACTTGGTTCGAAGCAAAAAAAAAAAAAAAAAAAAAAAAAAAAAAAAAAAAAAAAAAGCCCGGTTGAAAGGCCGTTGGTCGGGACTGACTTGCCGAGAGCAGCGACACGCGCTGTGCGCATGTAGAAGATCCGTAGCACGCAGCGGACTGACAGACCCACCATTCCAATGCGGTTGGCCGCGAGGGGAAGCAGCGCAATGAAACTGGTCTTTTTTTTTTTTTTTTTTTTTCCCCCTTTCCTTCATTTTTCCTTCCTCCTGCTTCTTCCCCCAACATCGCAGCTCGCCATCACCGCCAAGCACTCTGCTTCATGAGCTGATGCGCAAGGTGCACTGTGCTAAAAAAAAAAACGAGACGCGTCCACCGCGGTGCCGCACAACAAGACGACGAGAAATCACAATGATCGAAGCTCCACGCGAGCCAAAAAGCAGTTTCCACTTTCCCCCGTCCAGCAGCAGTGCTTTGATCCCAGGGAGGGGGGGGGGGTCCACTGGGTGGTGGACTGGCTGGGCAGAGGTCAGGGAGCCTCAATGGGTGGACGCGCCCGCCAAACTGGAGTCGCAAAAACTCACCAGCATGAGAATACCCCAAATGCTAAACACCATGCAGCAGGACGAGCACTTTGGCCCGCAGAAGCGGATGGAGAGCTGAAACTTCTTCTTCTCTGGCGGTGCCATTGTCGAAATGAGAGCAAAAATAAAAATAAGATGGACTGGTTTTTTTTGAGAGAAAACCGTGGCAGAGAAAACCGTGGCAGGGGAGACAAAGTGAGGCGCAGGGTTACGAGCAGAGAGAGAGGATGAATTTGAATCGGAGCAAGTTGAATTCAGCTGTCGAGTGACAACTACGCTTGCCGTGGTCTATGAGCTGTTCCGGGATAACTCCAGGTTTATTTTCACCACCCAGCACCAAACCCAACATCTGCAGGGGGTCTGTCTTTCGGAAGAGCAGAGCTGCTGCAGTCTTTGAAATTTGTGTGCACCAGATTCATTGAATCAAGCCTCCCCCCACCTCTTTCGTCCCTCGCCATCTCTCCTCAGCTCGCCTCATGCATCGCGTAGCGCGCCCGTCCGCTGTAGGAGCAGCCGCCAACTTTGTCAAAGGCGCGTTCGGATCGCTCAAGCCAATGGCGCCGCAGCCTCGACAGCAGATGCTCTACGACTTTTCACAGCCACGCGATCGCGCCGAGTGGAGCGTCACGTCCGACGCGGCGTTTGGTGGATTTAGTCGTGCGAATCTCGATGCCACAACCGACAGCTCGGCCATCCGCTTCGACGGCGTGCTCTCGCAGGCCAAGCCGCAAGGGTCAAAGCTGGTTCGGAGCGGCTTTGCCGCCATCCGCTCCAAGCGATATCCACGGACGCCACTCGCGCCTTACACGATGAATCTGGAAGCCTTTGATACTGTCGAGCTCATTTTGAGAGGCGACGGCCGCACCTACATTTCCAATCTCTCAACGGACTCGGTTCAAGAACACGATGTGTACCAGTCATTTGTGTACACCCGAGGTGGACCCGAATGGGAGCGCATCCTGGTAAGATTTGCATTTTCAGTGTTTACAAGAGGCGATGTGTGTGTGTGTGTGTGGGGGGCCGGTTGGAGGTGGAACGTGGAGGTGCAGTAGATTGTTGAATTGGACCACGTCTGAGCAGCGTAGCTCTTCGTCTTGCAGCACTAACTGTTGCCGCTTTGCTGCTTGCAATCACTAAACCACACATCTCACGCACACAGCTCCCGTTTGCTCGTTATCTGTTGACCTACCACGGCTATGTGCAAGAGGATCAGCCAGTATTCAACAAGCGCGCGATTCGGACGTTTGGCTTTTCGCTCGCCGATGGGGTGGAAGGCCCCTTTGCCCTCGAGATTAAGAGCATTCGCGTTCTCAACACTGACAACGACGATGTCGCTCCAGATAACTATCCCGATTCAACTCCAACAGACAATTCCGCCGCTCCACCAGCAAAAACTCGACCAACCCCCGACGACCACCCTCGTAGCGCATAACGCATGCATGCGCTTTGACAACCTGAAAGTATTGGTGAAGTTGATTTCTGTTGTAGGGGAGCCTCAATCAAGGCTTTATGGCAGCAGATGGTGGTTGTGGTTGCCGCCATTTTTGTTTTCCTGATGCTCGATGCTTGTTGTTGTTTTGCGACTCTGTCTATGACTAAACTTTTTTCCAAGAGCAGCTCTTTTGCGTGTCCCGTTGAGTCAGCATTGCTGCCACCGAAAGTCCCGTTTTTTTTTTTATTATCGTTCTTGATGCGACGAAATAATCAACTCGGATGTGTCGTACTTCCCTCACGGCTGCTCCCTTGTCGGCAAGCTCTCGTACAGTGTGCAGCAGAACAATCAGACCTCGGCGCGTTGTACTGCATGGAATTTCCACGAGATAACGAGCTTCGACGCAGATTTCGTCCTCCAAACCAATCACTTGCCGGAGCACGCGTCCAGTGCACTGTAATAATTCGCGCAACGAATGAGGGCGTCGACGACCATGCATTTGTTGAATAGTGTTGAGCAGTCTGACTGTGTTTGTTCGGTTCGGCAGAGAAAATGCTTGACGCAAGTGTTTGCTTTTTTTGTATTTCCTCCGTGGAGCGGTTTGTCGCAGTCCCTCGGGAGTGGGTTTTTTTTTGCCTGATGCAACGGTGTGTGACATGAGCTCGTTGTGTCAAGTGACCAGAGAGCGCGAGAGAGGGATTGCGAGAAATGCAAATGGCATTCTCCAGAGACATCGCAAATTCGCAGGAATCTGACGAGCCAAACCCGTGCCGCCCAAATCTGGGCAGCGAATTGCATTTTTGGGAAGGGGTGATCTACGAACGACGACCTGATTTATTCTGAATCTATGTTTCGTCACCACACGGGAGCAAATGGCCTATGTAATACTCGACTTGCATCTGGCATTTTCCGTGAACACTTTGCTCGGTGCCCTTAAGATGCGGGTTTGGCGCCAAAACCAAAACAAAAGAACAAAAAGAAGGAAAAAAAAAGAAAAAAAAAAAAGGAACAGACGAAGCAAGAAAAGCGCTCGCTACTGTTCCCTCCAAAAGTCAACTCACTAAGCCAGCATGCTGTTACATCGAAGCTCGGTGTTCTTAGTCCGATAGTAATTTCGATGTCACCCGGCGAAATCCTCACCGAACAGGGCCGTCATAACCATTCTTATTCTTTTTTTCGTTTCTTTTTCCATCTTTTTTTTTTTTTTTTTTTTTTTGCAACACCTTCGTTGTCTTCGTTTTCGCCGCCATCCCTCTCTCTTGTTCTTGCGTACGTTCCGGACGTCGTCCCCGTGTTGAATTTTACTTGTGCCTTGTTGCTGCACCTCGAAGACGGGCGTGGAAGACGCGAGTTTACAGCGGAAATACAGAAAAGAACAAAGAAAAAAAAAAAAGAAGAAAAAACCAAACCCTCCATCTTTTCGAGCTGCTCTCGTCGGAGCATCGCCTGATCGTCTGGTCGCTCTTGTTGAAGCCTGCACCTGCTGCTTTCGCTTTTATGATGACTTGCGCTGTCTGCGCCACTTCCCCCCGACTCCCACTCCCACTCCCACGCGCCTTCCCTACTCCCGGCCTTCCTTGAGCCTTTCGCACCATGATTTCACATGGCCGGATGCGATTTTTTTTTTTGAATTCCATCTCACTCTCTGCTTTCTCTGCGCGTCGAACGCAGGTCGTTCCACAGTCCTCCCACTTGGCAGTTATCAGGCTTTTTGTGATACTTCCCTCGAGGCTTCGATGACTGGCGCGCAACTGGAGCGAGGTGGCAGTCCAACGAAGGCGCCGCCGCGCCTGACCGCTCACCCTCGCGGTTCTCGGCTGCTAACTCTTCGGGCCGCTTTCTCATCTGTTCTGCTGCTGCTGCTCGGTTTCCTCGCAATCTCTGCCGTTGGTACTAGCACTGGAGGGGTAAGTTCATGACCGTACCTTGATGGGAGAAGCCAGGCGCGAGCGGGGAGTTTGATTCCACTTTCCTCGCCTTGCCTTTTTTTTTTTTTTTTTTTTTTTTTTTTTTTTTTTTTTTTTTTTTTTGGAAAGATTTGGAAGCATTCATCACATTTGTGATTTTCGTTTCGGCGAACAAGCACTCACTTTCACAACCCATCATGCAATTTTGTACCTTGAATTATTGAACCATTTTGTCGCGCGATCGACTTGGCTTTGGCTGCACTCTCGATGCACAGAACCGTGAGTAACCCGAGCTTGCATCGTGATGCTAATGATAACGCTATCAATCGCGTCTCCCTTTTGACTCACTTCCCTTTCCCCCTCCCCCCGCCTCCCACAAACCATCTACAGCTCAACCCATCTTTCTGGACTCAATTTCATACACGACCTTGACGACGGATTGCAACTATCTCGACCAGTACTTTTACGGCACTCAACTCATCCACAAGAGCCGGCTCGACATTTGTGGCAACACGTTCACGGAAACGCTGTTCTACCACACCGAATGCTATGGAGCGCCAGTCTTTTCGCTGAAGACGTCTGGATACATTTATCAGACGGGCTTTGAGCTGGATGCCGGCAACTTCCAACTTGCTTTGAGCAGCCTGACAGTGAACGCCAGCTCGGCAGCTGGATTGCGTGCTGTCCAAGACTATTGCAACGTTTCTAGCGGCTACAAGCAAGTCGTCGATGTTTCCACCACGGGTTGCCCAGGTCTCGGTATTGCACCGCTTTCAGACTGCCCCATGAGGTTTGTGTCAATCTCCTCGTACGACGTAGCCACCGTCAGCCACTTGCTCCTGTCGGCCGAGCCCTTTGTTCTCGCGTCTTGCTCCCTGCCATACACGAGCTCTTCGGTTCATGGACGCGAGGCTTACACCTCGAATTATGACGTCTGCCCCTATCCGAGCGATGGACCGTTCAACGTCTTCAAATCAATGGCCTCGTTGAAGTACGCTACTGAGGGCGATGCCGTATCTGCAACTATTCGACGTTGGTCTGGTCCTGTGGACATCCCGTTCGAGATCAACTGCACCGTCTCGGAGGAGGAGACCACTGCGGCTCCCGGCGACTATGTTGTTCTTTCGAGCCTCGTTCTGTCGTTTGGCAGCGGTGTTCTGTCTCAGGATGTCTCTGTGAGCTTTCCGCAAAATGCCGCCCCAGCCATGACCCGTAAATTGGTTCTTGAGTGCGCGAGCTCAGCCGCAACTGTGCATGCAGCCTCTGGGTCCTCTGAGCGCATCGAAATTGTTCTCTTCGACGATGATACCGATCTCTTCTCCTTTGCTACACCGTCGGTCAACAGTTACCCCGACCGGGCTGGATCCGTCCTTGTGGAGCGCACGCCAGCCTCGCCTGAAAGCGGCACTGTTCAGTACTACTTTGTGCTGGATGACATTGCTCCGGAGGACTTTTCCGACTCGTTCCCGCTTTCTGGCGAGATTGAGTTTGGCCCGGGACAAGAGTCATTCCTATTTGAGCTGCCGATGCCGGCGTATAACTTTGACGCACATGCGCCCTACATTTACTCGATGCACCTCAATGCATCGGCGAACTCGGTTGGAACGCATTCTGTCCTCGAGGTATCGGTTGGTGGCGCCTATGATCCTGGCACGCCCTACTTCCAGAACGTGGACCACCCACTCGTGCTTGGAGAGACAATTTACATCTCCAGCAGTTTCGACTCTGAGTTTAGCTTCTTTCAACCTTTTACCTGCAAGTGGCGTCTCTCGGACGACTCCTGGACTGGCGCGCCTGCCTCTGAAACGTTCGAAGTCGTCAGCGGCATCTTCAGCTGGGAATACTCGTACAGCTCGCCTGCTGTGACATTGGTCGTTCTCCCAGCTGAAACTACTCTCTCGAAGCATTTCCAGCTAGTGCCGTTTGACTGCCTGGGCAGTTCTGTGAGCGACGGGTCCGACGGCGTCCAAGTTGCCATCCAATATCAAGGCCTCGTGCCTTCCATTCGGCTGCTCGCTGACAACTACCAAGCATCCGTCTGGGAAGGAAGCATCCAGGTGAATGTGGCGCTGTCCTCGGCACTTGAGGAGGATGCCACATTCCCTTGGGAAATTGTGCCTGACACAGCAGTGGCCGACGAGGATTACTCGCCTGCGAATGGCCTCATCCTTTTCAGTGCTGGATCAACTGAGGCGACTGTCGAGATCACCCTGCCACCCAACAGCTCCCCGTCGTATGGGAAGAGCTTCACCTTCCGGCTGATGACCGAGGACCCTTCGTTTGCTGTTGTTGCCATCGATCTTCCGAACGCCATGCTGGTCGAAATCTACGCGCACGATAATCCTGACGGCGAGTTTACGTTTTCCAACGTCACAGCCCAAACGATTCCGGAGGGCCAGTCATGGTCAGTCGAGCTGGTGCGTTCGGTCAACTGGACCCTTCCTGTCGAAATCGTGTTGGACGATCATTTCCACGAGCGCCGCAAAGACTCCACTTCTGCCTCTACTACGCGGTCCAACCGTGGTCCTCGGTCAACCCGCAACGTGCCGCAGCCTGGTCGAGCGTCACGTCCAAATGGTGAACTCGAACCGACGCTTGGTCGCAAAGCATCCTTGAGAACTCGCCGTGATCGTGACGTTGTCGAAGAAGACGCTCGTCTGCAGCTGAGCCCAAACCCTGTGGTCTTTCTGCCAGGCGAAACGACAAAGACGATCACAATCACTGCGCTCGACGATGACCGGCCCGAGTGGGACGAATACTACCCTGTCTACATGCAAACGTTCTCAATCGACACGGTAGGGGCGGCTGCCTCACCCGAGCAGGAAATTCTGGTCCTCGTGCCCGAGAATGACGACCCCCACGGCACATTCACGATTGAGCAAGGTGTCTCAACTCCAGTCGGAACGTTCCTTGCGATCAACCTGCACCGAGACGGCCAAATGCCCTCAAACGGAGTCGGCTACAATGTCTACTATGAGATTATTCCAATGACTGCACTGCCTGGTGTGGACTACCTCGTGCCGGAGAATAATTATACGGTCTTTGACGGAAACGTCTGGAGCCTTGACACGTCGATCCAAATCCAAATCCTCGACACTGGTCTGCCTGCGCAAGACAAGTTTTTCGAAGTCCGACTTTTGAGCATCGAGTGCCCATGTGTCAATCCAGTCATCTTTCCTCACATCAGCCAAGTGGCCAACTCGACAGTGGTGCGCATTGAGGCTCAAAATGGTGCCAACGGCCACTTTGCGTTTGACGATTTCTCCCCTCGCGCAATCAACGTTACGGAGGGCGGCGTTTCACTGACTGTCGTGCGTACCGATGCACTCTACGGCGCGTGCAATTTGACAATCAGCAGCACAGGCCAAGCTTCGCTCGGCTACGACTTTACGAGCGATCCCATCCAGTTTGTGGATGGGCAGGCCACTTCCACACTGTATTTGCAGTTCATCCCGCAGATGGACCCCGTGATAACGCGAACGGCAGAGGTCTATTTGAGTGGTTCCTGCAGCGGCGCGACCCTTGACTCGACTCCCGTGACCATCATCTTCCCGGTTGCCAACAACCCGTTTGGTGTGTTTCAAATCGAACAGCGAGATTACCCGTTCGAGACGTTCGGCTCTTATGACATTGCTGTCACACGAGCATGGACCAGTCTTGGCGCTGTGCAGATCAACTATGAAATATTTGATTCTGAGGGCGAATCGCCTTCTGACATCCAGGACAACTCTGGCGGTTCGATCACTATGGAACCTTACCAGTCGTACGCCTACATTAGCTTTCAATACGTTGATGTCAGCGCATCCCAACCCCGCCGGACCTTTTTTGTGAACATCACCTCGATTACCAAAACCGACGATCCCGACCCAGAACCATTGTCTGCTCCAGTGATTGGTGTTGGACTGGGCCAGTATTGGCTCGCGCCCACCGGAACTGCTGGTGGTGACTTTGTTCTGCAGCAAATTTCCCCGCTTGATCTTGTGAAGGGTGGACCGCCTCAGCCTTTCCGAGTCGACCGGCTCAACTCTGCGTCTGGCAACGTGACCGTCTACCTGTACTTCTACTCACCTGTACCATTCATCCTGACTGACCAACTGCTGTTTGTGGATGGTGAGACCACCAAGACGGGCTATATTCAAGCGGTCGATGATGGCAGGGACTCGAACGCCGTCGCCGAGAGTCTGAGCATTGACCATATCGACGGCATCGCCACCTCGTACACGAGTGACACTCTGAATGTGACGATCGCGCGTGATGGCTTCCCCGGTGGCACCTTCTTCATTGCGCCCGTTTCGCAGAACATGACCGTTGACCGCTTGGCGCCTGTGGACCTACTCATTCTGCGAGCTGGCGACCGTGCAGGAGAGGTCAAGGTCTGGCTGAACGTAGTTGGCACTGGCGACGAGCATACCGCTGCTTTCGATACAGACTATACCCTCGCCCCCAATCCTGTGACCTTGGCCCCGTTCCAGGCCGCGGGCGTGGTCACCCTTTCCTGGCCCATTTCCGAATCACCAATGCCGTACCAAAACATTCAACTTGGCATCGTCAGTTTGACCTCCGCTGACTCGGAGCTGAGTCCCACGTACCTCGAGTCGGCCACGGCGATGCTTACCGTCCTGCCCGACGAGTATGCAAATGGTCTGTTTGCGTTCGATCTCGAGTTCGTGTCGCAAAGCGTTTCCTCGTCCGGCGACGTGACCTTCACCATCTTTCGTTCAGTCAGCACTGTGGGCGCAGTCTACGTGACGATCCTCCCAGAGGCTGATTCGGAGTTTCCCGAGCCAGCTGTGTTTGGTGAGGATGTCATTGGCCCCGAAAACCCCATCATTGTGACCTTCGCTGATGGTCAGCAGGTCGGAGAGTTTACTGTCACTGCTGTCATGGACTCTACGCCCCAAGTCGCCAAGCGCATTCTGTTCCGAATTGCGAACGTGACGTCTGCAGACGGTTTGCTCATCAATGCCGGAATTGACTCGGACGTGTATCAAGCGACTTTGGACCTGGAGGCGCATGACTACCCGCACGGTGTGTTTGGATTCCTGGACGCGATTGTTCATGTGGATCCTTTCAATTCAACCATCCTGACACTGACAATCAAACGTGACGGTGGTTCAATTGGCGGGGTTCGCGCTCGCGTCTCAACCGCGACTGCGACTTTTGGCGAGCTCGCCGACCCGAACACCGACTTTGTTTCGGTCGACGGCATGCTCGTTGAGTTCGCCGACGGCCAAACGGAGGCCCAGGCGCAAATCACGCTGCTCGAAAATCCCGAGCCGCACCCCGATTTGAACTTCCTCGTCGTGATTGACGACGTCACGCTCAAGCCCGCTCTGCCCTTTTCTGGCGCGGTACCTGAGCTAAACGAGACCGCGTCTTCGGTGCAGGTTGTGATCCGATATCACGATCTCGAGTCTGGAACCTTCCAGTTCAGTGTCACATCTGCCAGTGTGAACACTGGAAGCGGATTCTGGCTCGATATCGATCGCATTGGTGAGGACAATGGTGACGTTGTCCTGCAGATCACGCCTGATTTACTTTCTGAGCAGTATCCGTTGGACTTGACGAACAATCTCCCCTCGTTCTTGGCGCCCATGACGGTCTCATTTGCTGATGCACAACTCAAGCAGTCCATCTACTTGTCGACGCTGTCGTCCATCGCACCATCAGTCGATTCCAGTGTGTCCCTCATCCTGACCGTGCTATCGCACCAGTACGACAATGCAGCGATCGGTACCAATTCGATTTTCAAATTCACGGTCCTCGCTCACGACGACCCGCATGGAACGATTGGGTTCAACCCCTCCGAGTACACAGGCCCTGAAGGCACGATGGTGGCAGTGCGCCTCGAGCGGTTTGGCGGCCTCATCGGTGCCGTGACCGCGTCGTTTACCGTCTCCTTCGACGGCGCAAGCGCGGCTGATATCCAAGTCAGTCCAGCGACTTCTGTGACTTTTGCAGACGGAGAAAGTGAACAGTTCATCAACGTGACCATCGTGGACGACCACATCCCCGAAGAACTCGAAGTGCTCCAGATCACCATCTCTGACTTGGTGGTGGACCTGGAGAGCACTGGCGCCACTCCGCACTATGGGCAGCTCTCGAGCCAGATCACCATCCCCGACAACGACCAGGGCGAATACGGGACTGTATTCTTTGCGTCAGAGCTCGTTCTCGCTGAAGAAGGAGCCTCAGCTGTCGTTACAGTCACTCGCGTGAACGGTTCCTATGGTGCGGTCGCAGTGGCCCTCAGTGCGTCAGGCAATGCCGAATCGCCCAGTGACTACACTTTATCGTCGTATCTGGTGTCGTTTGCTGATGGGGAAGTCTCCCAGAATGTGACCATCGACATTATCGCTGATGGCATCCCAGAGCTGCAAGAGTCCATTTATCTCGAACTGCAAGACCCAGAAGGTGGCGTTGCCATTGGGTCGCCTTCCTCCATGGAGGTGCGCATCGCTGCCAACGACAACGCCTACGGCACCATCTCCTTTGCTGCCGATTCTGAGACTGTGACCGTCGTCGCGTCCGAAACAGACTCGGTTCAGGTGACGTTGAACGTGACGAGGACTGGCGGCACGATTGGCAAGGTTCGTGTGAGATACAGTACAGTCTCAGGAGGCGTTGCGGGTGTTGGTCCCGCCTCGAGCGGTGTCGACTATACTGCGATTACTTCGAACGAATTTGTCATGCTGGCCGGCGCCTCGACGGCTCAGATTACAGTCACAATCCTCGCCAACAACCTTCCGACGTTGGATGTTGGCTTCCTTGTGTTCATTGAGCACGTGGAGATTGAAGAAGATGTGATTATCGTGTTTCGACGTGGCAACGACAAACCAGACATTGGTTCACGCAATGCCTCCGCGATTACGATTGCTGCGCACAACGACCCGAACGGTGTGTTTGAGTTTGCGACGACTGGCGCGATCGTTCAGTCGACCAGCGGCACGTACACGCTCATCGTGCGACGCACGGGTGGCACAATTGGCACTGCATCGCTGAGCGCTACGGCGTCGGTGTCTGGCCAACAGTATCCGATTGATTTGGTCCAGGATGCGTCGCTCGCGTCGCCTCTGGCTGTGTCGTTTGGCGACGGTAGCTCGCAGGCATCTGCAATCATCACGATTGTGAACAACGGGCTCCCTCGTGTCACGTCGACGGCGGTCATCACTCTGTCCATTGGCAGCGCCGGTGCTTACGGCCGTCTTGGCACGAACACGACGTTCACACTGACCATCCCTGCCCACAACAACCCGCACGGTATCGTGTCGTTCGGTGCGACGTCGCAATCTGTTTCGTTGGTCTCGTCGACATCTTCGGCAGTGACTGTGCAGCTCAATGTGACGCGTACTGGCGGTAGCATCGGAGCACTGACGGTCCTGTACAACACTGTTTCTGGTGGTGTTTCCGGTGTCGCTTCGGCCACTGCTGGAACGGACTACGTTGCTGTCGCTTCAGGCTCGCTCTCGCTTGCGGATGGTGTTTCCAGCGGCAGCATTGTGATTACTCTGCCTGCCAACAGCATTCCTACCTTGGACGTTGGTTTCCAGGTGCTGTTGTCGTCTGTTTCGCTGACGTCGCTTATCGGCACTGGCGCAGTCCCCACGCTCGGCTCGGGTGCTGCTGCTCAAGGCAACATTACGATTGCTGCGCACAACGACCCGAACGGCGTGTTTGAGTTTGCCACGACTGGCGCGATTGTGCAGTCGACCAGCGAGTCCTACACGCTCGTTGTGCGACGCACCGGTGGCACGATTGGCACTGCATCGCTGAGTGCTACAGCTTCGGTGTCTGGCCAACAGTATCCGATTGACTTGGTTTTGGATGCATCGCTCGCGTCGCCATTGTCTGTGACGTTCGGCGATGGTAGCTCGCAAGCATCCACGTTCATCACGATTCTGAACAATGGGCTCCCTCGCGTCACTTCCACGGCGGTCATTACCCTGTCCATCGGCAGCGCCGGCGCTTATGCCCGTCTTGGTACCAACACGACGTTCACGCTGACCATCCCTGCTCATAACAATCCACACGGTGCTGTTTCTTTCGCCGCCGGATCTCAGGCGTTGACGGTGGCCCCGTTGGCTGGCGCAGCTTCTTCCATTCAGCTCAACCTGACTCGTACTGGTGGCAGCATTGGCACTCTCGTTGTGACCTACCAAACGTCTGCTGGAGGTGTTGCTGGTATTGAGGCAGCGACAGCCGGTGAGGACTTTACTCCCATTGTCGCTGCGACTGTGACCATTCCTGCTGGCAGTGCTTCTGCGTTTGTGATGGTGACCATCCCCTCCAACGTTGCTCCTGAGCTCGACCGCGGTTTCCAGGTCTTGTTGACGAATGTCGCTGTTTCTGACCTTACGAACACTGGCGCTACACCATCTCTCGGCAGTGGTGCTGCATCGATGAGCAACGTGACTCTTTCTGCGCAGAACGATCCCAACGGCGTGTTTGAGTTTGCTGTGACATCGGTTGTCGCAGATTCGACCAGTGGATCCTATCTCCTGGTGGTGCATCGCTCTGCTGGCACAGTTGGAGCGGCAGTGCTCACTGGCACAGCTTCCGTTTCCGGACAGCAGTATCCTCTTGACTTGGAGCAAGACGTTTCGCTCACTACGCCTCTCGTCTTCAATTTTGCGGACGGCGCAACGACTGCGTCTGCTAGCATTGTGATTGTCAACAATGGACAGCCTCGCGTGTCGTCTACCGCTGTCCTCACATTGGCCATTACGAGTGCTGGGTCGTACGCACGCTTGGGTGACAACACGACTGTCTTGTTCACCATCCCTGCCCACAACAACCCGCACGGCACAGTGTCGTTCGGTGCGACGTCGCAATCTGTTTCGGTGGCCTCTTCGACATCTTCGGCTGTGACTGTTCAGCTGAACGTGACGCGCACTGGCGGTAGCATTGGAGCGTTGACGGTCCTGTACAACACTGTTTCTGGCGGTGTTTCCGGCGTTACTTCTGCGACGGCTGGAACAGATTACGTTGCCGTCGCTTCAGGCTCGCTCTCGCTTGCGGACGGTGTTTCCAGCGGCAGCATTGTGATTACTCTTCCTGCTAACAGCATTCCTACCTTGGACGTTGGTTTCCGAGTGTTGTTGTCGTCCGTTTCGCTCACGTCGCTTGTCGGCACTGGAGCAGTCCCCACGCTCGGCTTGGGTGCTGCCGCTCAAGGCAACATTACGATTGCTGCGCACAACGACCCGAACGGTGTGTTTGAGTTTGCGACGACTGGCGCGATCGTTCAGTCGACCAGCGGCACGTACACGCTCATCGTGCGACGCACGGGTGGCACAATTGGCACTGCATCGCTGAGCGCTACGGCGTCGGTGTCTGGCCAACAGTATCCGATTGATTTGGTCCAGGATGCGTCGCTCGCGTCGCCTCTGGCTGTGTCGTTTGGCGACGGTAGCTCGCAGGCATCTGCAATCATCACGATTGTGAACAACGGGCTCCCTCGTGTCACGTCGACGGCGGTCATCACTCTGTCCATTGGCAGCGCCGGTGCTTACGGCCGTCTTGGCACGAACACGACGTTCACACTGACCATCCCTGCCCACAACAACCCGCACGGTATCGTGTCGTTCGGTGCGACGTCGCAATCTGTTTCGGTGGTCTCGTCGACATCTTCGGCAGTGACGGTGCAGCTCAATGTGACGCGTACTGGCGGTAGCATCGGAGCACTGACGGTCCTGTACAACACTGTTTCTGGTGGTGTTTCCGGTGTCGCTTCGGCCACTGCTGGAACGGACTACGTTGCCGTCCCTTCAGGCTCGCTCTCGCTTGCGGATGGTGTTTCCAGCGGCAGCATTGTGATTACTCTGCCTGCCAACAGCATTCCTACCTTGGACGTTGGTTTCCAGGTGCTGTTGTCGTCTGTTTCGCTGACGTCGCTTATCGGCACTGGCGCAGTCCCCACGCTCGGCTCGGGTGCTGCTGCTCAAGGCAACATTACGATTGCTGCGCACAACGACCCGAACGGCGTGTTTGAGTTTGCCACGACTGGCGCGATTGTGCAGTCGACCAGCGAGTCCTACACGCTCGTTGTGCGACGCACCGGTGGCACGATTGGCACTGCATCGCTGAGTGCTACAGCTTCGGTGTCTGGCCAACAGTATCCGATTGACTTGGTTTTGGATGCATCGCTCGCGTCGCCATTGTCTGTGACGTTCGGCGATGGTAGCTCGCAAGCATCCACGTTCATCACGATTCTGAACAATGGGCTCCCTCGCGTCACTTCCACGGCGGTCATTACCCTGTCCATCGGCAGCGCCGGCGCTTATGCCCGTCTTGGTACCAACACGACGTTCACGCTGACCATCCCTGCTCACGACAACCCCTTCGGAACTGTTTCGTTCTCCTCGGATAGCCAAGCTTTGTCGCTTCAGCAGTCGGCCTTTTTGCTGACCTTGAACATCACGCGCCAAGGCGGCACGTTTGGCGACATTGATCTCGTCTTCTCCACTCGCAACCCAACCAATGCAGGGCTCTTACCTGCGGTCCCTTCGGTCGATTACCAACCTTTGTCGTCCGTTACTCTTCGCCTCGTGAGCGGCCAGTCTCGCTCGTTTGTTAGCGTGATGATCTTGGCGGACACCACTCCAAGCTTTGACGAAGCTTTCGAGGTTGTGCTGGTCAGCGTTTCCACCCCTAGCCAGTCGGCTGGTGCGGTGCCCTCGGTTGGCGTGAACAATGTTGCGCTGGTCACGCTGCTCAGCCATCACTATCCCTCGGGTGTGTTTGCCGTTGCAACTCCCAACCTTTTTGGCATTCAGAGCGGCGAATCCATTCCCGCCAGCTTTGTTCAGCAAGTTCAATCTGGCAGTGTCGTTGTGGTTGTTCAGCGCGGGGCTGGTGCACTGGACGAGGCTGTCGTTTCATGGACCTTGTCGCCTCCTTCATCGCGCCTCTCGCCGACTTCCGGAGCCTTGGTGTTTGCTGCAGGACAGCGGGAAGCCCAGGCTGTGCTGTCGATTGTCGCCTCGCCCGTTCCAGCCGTCTCATCGACTATCGATTTCAGCATCTTTTCCGTCACTCCTGCGGTTACCTCGTTGTTGAACACTTCTGCAGCTCTGTCGCGAGTTGTGATTGTCGGAAATGGCGATCCGTTTGGTGTGTTTACGCCCCAAGATGCGCGTGTGACTGTCGCCACGGGTGCTCAGACCGTCACCGTGGTGATCAATCGATCGCAAGGCGCTCTTGAACCGATCGAAGTCCGCTATAGTACTGCTGTCATCCCGAATGTCGATCGACGCGAGATTGCCTTGCGACCCGCGCTTGCTGATGTTGATTTTGTCCCCGTGACCAACCAAAAGTTGACGTTTGCTGCCGGTCAAACCAGTGCCAGCGTTCAGATTGCACTGCTTGGATCATCTCGCCCGCACTTGGCTCTGGGCTTCAAAGTGGTTTTGGTCTCGGCTCAGCGTGTTGGCGAGCTGTCGAGCACTGTCCCCACGCCAGGCGGCATGCTGTCATCGTGGGACTCGCTTACGTCTCCCAGGATTTCAGCCGACCCTGCGACGATGGTCGTCATCCCCGCATCGAATGCACCTACCGGATCTTTTGTGTTTGACACCTCCAGCACTTCCGTGCAAGTCTCGAACACCTCATCGTCCGTGTCTGTTCGTGTTTCTCGTTTGGGTGGCTCGACTGGGTCTGTCACGCTCGGCGTCAACGCGAGCAGCTTTGATGCTCGACCCAGTGTCGATTTCAAGCTCATCACAACAACGTTGACCTTCGCTGCTGGTGACACCAGCGCCAATGCTACGATTTCGATCTTGGCTGCTGCTTTCCCCAAGGCTGCTCAGACCATTACCCTGAAACTGAGCGTGCTCACGACGATGGTAGATGGCTCCGTTGTGGTTTTGCCAGATCCGGTGGCGTTGTTGGGCTCCCCGTCCACCTCGTTGCTGCTCCTCAGCCAGTATGGACGACCTGGCGTTTGTGAGAGCCAGACTGTTGGCAACTATTCTTGGCCAGAGACGCTTGCTGGAGGCTCGGCGATCGTGCCTTGCGAGTTTGGTTTTGTCGGGAATGCGTCACGCCAGTGTCTCAGCGGCCAGTTGGCGCTGTGGGCAACAGCCGACGTGTCCGGCTGTCGAGACGTCCAGTCGTTGCTCAGCGACCTCCTGTCCGTTCCTGTCACGGAAGACTCTTTGCAACTTCTCGCCGAAAACGCCAACACCATGTCGACCCAAGTGGGCGCATTGGACGAAGGCGCACTGGGATCGCTTGCGACCTTGCTCTCGGAGATGAGCGCTGTCGGTGCTTCTGCGGGTTGGCCTGGACAGTCTAGCTACAACATGATGAGCGTGTTTGATAATCTGCTCGGCAGTTCGAGTGCTGGCCTGGCGGCGTACCAAGGAGGCAACAGCGGGGCGAACAATCTTGCCAACGTTCTGACAAACTTTGGATACTCCTTGCTCGGACCAAGCCCTACAGCTGGCACGACTGTGACGCGCTCTGGCGAAAACGCCATCATCTCGGCGAGTGCCGTGAGTGTGGGCTCGGACGCCAACTTTACGACTTCATCTGGTGGCAACTTCTCCCTGCCCGGGTCTCTTTTCGACATGCTCAACGGCCAGGAAGTGCAGGGATTGTTCGCGGTCAGCTTTGCTCTCTACCAAACATCCGACCTGTTCCCCGCAGTCAACCAAACCAACTCGGCAGTCTCGAATGTGATCTCGGCCTCCGTTCAGGGCCGCGAAGTGTACAACCTGACTGAACCCGTCACGTTTGTGATTAGCCATGCACCTCTCCCCACTCCACCGACTTGCACATTCTACAACTTTGCTACTCAGCAATGGGATGCTGAGGGCTGCGTGACGTCAAGACTATCGAGCACCTCGACGCAGTGCCAGTGTTACCATCTGACCAACTTTGCTCTCTTCTTCAGTCTTGGCGACGATGAAATTGACTCGATCAGCGCAGACATTCTCTCGAACATTACGTACATTGGCTGTGCGCTCTCCATCTTTGGCACGGTGGTGACCTTCATGACGTTTGTTCTGCTCAAGACCCTGCGCACGTTTGCCATGAAGTTGGTCATGCATCTGTGCGTGGCCGTGTTTGGCATCAACGTGGTCTTCCTTGCGGGTGCCACTCAGACCGGCAACCAGGACCAGTGCAAGGCGACAGGAATCTTCTTGCACTTCTTCTTGCTGTGCTCGTTCTGTTGGATGCTGTCGCTTGGCGTCAACTTGTACCTGGGTATTGTGCGTCTCAACACTGACACGTACATTTACTACAAGCACATGTTGATTGCTTCTTATGGTGTACCCACCCTCATCGTTGTCATCACCATGGCGGTGGACATTGACAATTATGGCGGCACAGAGGCTTGCTGGATCCAAGACCAGAACGCATTGATCGGTGCCTTCTACGTTCCCGTGCTGCTCGTCATCGCGGCCAACATTTTCATGTTTATCAAGATTGTCATTGCCTTCCAGCGTGCCGCCAAGGATCGCCGCATTCTCGGCGCGGAGGAGCGCAACAATTTGCGCGTCCTCGTGACCATCTTCCTGATGTTGGGCATTACCTGGGTCTTTGGTGTTTTGGCGATCGACTCTGCCACGACGGCGCTTCAGTACCTGTTTGTCATCTTCAACAGTTTCCAGGGCTTCTTTATCTTTGTGTTTTACTGTCTCAACCAGCGCGTGTTGCAAGCGTACAGGGCAACTCTTGGAGGTCGCTTCCCGTTCTCGTACATTTCCTCGCTCGCTGCTCGCACATCGCAAACGAGTGCCGGCTCGAGCTCGGCCGCGACCGCGGCAAGCTCTGTCGGCGAACGTCCGGCATCGTCCACCTCATCGTACTTCTCTTCCCTGCCGACGACCTCCAAAGAGGCTGGGTATGCAAGCGGGACATTCTCGAGTACCACTGACAGTATGCACGATGGAGGCGAGTCGGGCACCCAAAGCCACTCGTCTGGCGGCCGCGGTAGCAAGGAGGCGCGCCGCGTAGCGACTCTTCCAGGCTCCGCCACTGGCACCGCGCTTGACAATAGCTTTGTTCGTCAAAGTGAGGCTGCGTTCACTGGCCTCCGGCGCCAACTGGATGCCGATCGTGCTGCTTCCCCTTCGCGTCTCCCGGCAAGCCTACCTACCACAGCGCACCCCTCCACGGCGATCGAAATGCAACAGATTGTTGCTCCTCGCCCCGTTGCTGTGCAACCGGCTGTCTCTACGCGACCCGCACGAACACTCTCTCCCCGTGATTTGAAGCGACTCGATACCATTGACTTTTCCAATGTCTAGAGTGCTTTTGTTTTTGTGATTTTTCTCTCTTTGTTGTTTGATTTGAACCCTTTGTATTTCTCTCAGGACTTTTTTTTTTCGTCTTCGATGTTTTTGTGGTGGTTGAATTTGATATTGTTTTGTCTGAGTGTATTTGTTTCGTGTTTGCTGTTTGCATTTTTTGCTTTGCTTTGTTCGTTTGTTGCACCGTTGTGCGCATCCATACACTGGATGCAATACATTGTTTTGCAAATCTGCTCTTGTTCGTGTCCCTACGCCTTCCCCTTCATGTGCATTGTGACTCGGTAAGCTTTGTAAGCTTTGTCCCATCACCCAGTTTGGTTTGTTGCAACGATCAGTCCTGTTCTACGTTCTGTGTTGGATTCCCAGTTTGAGATGCGCCGGTCTGTGTACGGACCCACTGCCGCCGCGCCGTCGGATCGAGCGTCACTCTCGTCGCTTGAACGCGCTCTGTTGGAGCTGCGCGATGTCTGGCGTCGCGGGATTGACCGACGGCTGCTGAGCGAAGTGCTTCCGACACTGCTCATGTCTGGCTGCGGGCTGATGCTCTCCGGCGTGACCCTGAGCTTCCTCATGCAATCCAGCGAGGCGTTCAAGGCCGTGCCTGCGCTCGTCGTGCTGCTGCCCGTGCTGCTCGGGCTCAAGTGCTGCCTCGAGATGACCCTCGCGAGCCGACTCTCAACCGCCTTTCATACGCAGCTGCTCAGCGACGCCGGCCCGAAAGACCAGCGCCGCAGCGTCATCCGAGCCAATCTCGGCGTCGTCATCATCCAGGCCACCTGCGTTGCGCTGCTCGCGACGGCGTTCGCGGCTGGAATCACCTCGTTCGAGTCGGAGGAAGGATGGGTGTCCCTGCATCATCTGGTCGTGCTGCTCTCGTCCGCCGTGTTAACGTCGTGCATTGCGGCGCTGCTGCTGGGCATGTTCACAGCGTACGTTGTGATGGAAAGCAGTCGGCGCAACGTCGATCCAGACAACATTGCCGGTCCGCTGGTGACGGGCATGGGCGACTTGCTCGCTGTCGTCCTGCTGGGCTTGACGAGCACAGTGTGCTTTTACTTTCCGGTGGCAACAACCATTCTCACGGCGCTTGCGATTGCGATGATGCCATACTGCTTCCGCATGGCCTCGGCACATCGACCAACCTTTGTCGTCTTGAAAACGGGCTGGCCCCCGATTCTCGCCAACTTTGTCCTGAGTCTGATTGCAGGAATCTTCCTTGAAGGTGACGTCGACGAGCTCATGGGAGGCCTGGCCACCCTCGTCCCTGTCATCAACGGGACGGGCGGAAACATTGCTGGCATTTACGCGAGTCGCTTTGCCACGTCGTTGCACAAGGGCAAACGCGGCGGGCACGAAACCACCGGCTCGACACTGGCCCTCACCACTGTGCCTGCTCATCTCGCGTTTCTGTTGATTCTGCGTGTGTCTCCCGTCGATACCACGAGCGTGTCGTTGCCGATCGCCCTCGCCTACTTGCTGGCTGGTACCATCCAAGTCCTGGTGTTGCTGCGCCTCGGCAAGTACCTTGTGAAGCGTGCCTGGGCCCGAGATCTCGATCCTGACAACCATGTTGTTCCGTATCTTACGGCGCTGAGCGATCTGATCGGGACGACGTCCATTGTTTTGCTATCCAAGTTGTAGTTTGTGTTGTCGTTCTTGTTGTCGGTAGTCGTAGTAGTATTAGTAGTATTAGAAGTAGTAGTCCTCGTAGATCGAGCAGTTGAAGTGTAAGAGTCGTTGGAGCTGACTATTCCTTTGCTCTGTGCAATCTCCTTTTTTTTTTTTTTTTTTTTTTTTTGAAAGCCTTCATCTCCAGTTTCGCTTGCTTTATTTTTGACTTTTGTTTGGGTATCTCAGCTGTTTTGACTTGCTTCTTTTCTTTTCTTTTCTGAGCGTCTCAGTCATTTTCTCCCCACTCCAATACAATGCGCATTGTCTCTGCCATCCGCCGGATTTGCGCCTCGTGCCAGCTTGTCGTCCGCAAGGGCCGCCGCTTTGTGATCTGCCCCGTCAACCCTCGCCACAAGCAGCGACAGGGGTGAACAGTCATCCTCAGTGAGCCGTGCCAATGGAGGTCCATAGCGCCCCTCTCTCTCTCTCTCTCTCTCTCTCTTCATCGTCCTCCTCCTCCTCTTCCTCCTCCTCGTCTTCCTCAACCCACACCACTGATGCTGCATCCACCCTTGTTTCCAAAACCCCTTCCTTCTTTCTCACTCGCGCTCTCATCACCTCGTTTCGGCTGCGTGTTCGTTTTCCCCCGTTCGCGTGCTCCGAAGTGGAGAGCAGTGGGAGATGCACATGCTCCTATTTGCTTGCTTCTTGGCAATGGGATATGGGATATGGGATATGGGGGGTTGCTTTTGTATGTATGGGGTTTCCATTGGGGACTTTTTGAAATCATAATAATAATCATCAGAATGCTCGAACGGCTTTGTATGGCTTTGGACATTGAGATTGCTGCTTTGTATGGACTTCCATTGAGGCCTTTGGTTTCCACAAAGTTCCATCATAGGTTTTTGCTCGTTCGTTGACTTTTTCTTCTTCTTCTTCTTCGTCTTGTTTTATTTTGTATGATTTTGTACAATGATGCATTTGTCTGAGTCGCTGTGAGACACATAGGGAAGGACCTTTGGCTGCCATCTTCAGCAGTTCAGCATTGCTGAGTGAAACCAAACTGCACAGATCATGCACGAAACCAGAATACCAATACAGACTGACAATCTCCTTGCCGATGATGGTCTTTTGCTTGTGATGAGCACTCACATTGATATCTGATGCATTTGTTGGGTTTTAGACCTGTTTCGACCAATCCTTTGACCGATTCCATGGAATACCATCCCCCGCCTCGCTCTCTCAAGTCGATACCTTGCCAGCTGAAACGGGACAGATTTGTTGCACGATCTGCTGGTCTGGTTTTTCCATTGTTTGCTGGTTGGGTGCTTTGGTATCTGTGTCTGTGTGGTTTTGTGCGCGCTTTTCAAGCATTGTAGTTTACCTGAAATGAATGAAGAAACAACAAAAGAGAGTGGGAAATCGTGATTCTATGTGACAACGCGACGAGTCAAGAAGGCACAACGAACGAGCAGGAAGTATCGAGTATGGTACAGGAAACAGTGAATGAATGCGCCTCAAAGCCCCGTTTGGAAGAGAGACGGCGCGGTTATAATATACATATTTGTGTTGCTTGGTTTGTGTATATGCGGGATGACTGTAGACCTCGCTGAGAGCCTTGAATTCTAAGAGAAAAGCCTGTCAAACCGGCACTGGCAGAGCTTCCAAAAAGCAAGCTCCAAAGGCCGTGCCGCGGGTGCTTTAGTGCTGCTCCATTGCAACAGCGTTGGCAGAGATGGCAACGGCAGCAGCAGCAGCGTTCGCAGCAGCATTAGCAGCGGTGGCGGTGGTTGCTGGAGCGCCGTCCAATGGCTCCAGCAGGGTCATCGGGACTTGTGCGCGCACGACGGTGATTGTGATGCACGCGACAACGAATGCGCAGAGCTTGAAGAAGGTTGCGTTGTTGATGCGACGCACCTCGTCCTCGGTGCGCCACTCGCGGTAGATGCGACGGAAGTTTGGCAATGCCATTTCGAACCGGAAAGACTACTAAGAAAGTCTGAGGATCAGTCTGCGAACGGCAAATCTAAGCAAGTTCAGGATCAAAGTAAAGTAAAGCCAAGTCGATGATGGCAACACCTCGAATCGCAGATTTGCTGAACGCTCAAAGTACTCCAAAGGAACCCAAAGAAAAAGCAAGAGTGTGATGGGTGGAACTTGATTTGGAAAGCAAAATCGGGTTCTGAGCAACTCGGCGTGAACACGTCCATCTTCTTAACTTTGTGTTTTGGTGACACATCCAACAACCCCTTCGTCCCAGGGTCGTGGCGACTTCGGGGTACTCAAGTTCAAAGCGCAATTCGGACGGCCGCGAGTTTTGACTGCCCGACTGCTGCCTCGTTGCTTCATAATTCACAGGACGAAACACATGCAACGACAATGCTGAACGCAGAGTGCGAGGTCACAGCTCACCCAAACTTGCTTTGAGCTTGTTTTTGATCTGCAGTTCTCAGTCCCACTTTTGCACAACAAACAAAAGGGGTGGATGCGATCGTCGTCCTCTGCTCTGACTTCCATGCTTAGGATGACGACGACGACGACGACAATGATGCTGATGAAGATGATAGTGCTGATGCTCTGTGTTGGATTGGCGACTTGCGCCTCGAGGGCTCGAGCGGAGCAATTCGGCGCAGCGGAGCATTCTGAGCAGCAGCATTTCGCAGCAGCACCGCGGTTTGCCGAGGCACCAGCAGAAGGAGCTCCAGCGGCGGCGAACAGCGTCCTGCTGCTGCGTGAACTGCGTCTGAAGGGCAACCCAAGCCCGTTGGAGCGGCGGATGGATGGCGGCCGGCTGAGCGACCAGGAGGACAGTGACCGGCAAATGCGAAAACGATCTACAACCCAACAACCAGCGCAGCCAGAGCGCGACCCCGACGCAGACGCAGCCGCAGACGCAGCCGCAGCCGATGTGGGTGCGCAGACAGGCAAAGCGTGGATGGCGCTTGCGTCTGGAAACGGAACTGCGCCAGAGGACGAGCGGACGATTGCCGATCTGCCCGACTGGGCGGTCGTGCTGTGCATCGGCGTGTCGGCGTTTCTGTCGGGCGTCGCAATGGGCCTCACGAGCTTTGGCTCGGCCATTGTGTTCCATCTGTGCTGGCAGCTCTTCTTGCTGTTCTCTGGCATTGCGCACGACGACTTGAGCCAGCTGGTCGGGCTGCTCGCCATCATGGACTGGGGCACCGTCCCGCCCTTGCTCTACATTTGCTGGAAGGACGTCGACGCCACCATCCTTGGGTATCTTGTCGTGCCCATGGCCGTGACCACTGCGCTTGGATCCTACATTCTCGTGACCACGCCTCCAGACATCCTCAAGCTCATTCTGGGCATCATTTTCATTGTGTTTGCGACTTGGCGCATTCTGCTCGAGGTGTTTCAATCTCCCCGCGGCATGGCCTGGCTCTCTCGCATGCACCTGGAAACAAGTACATTGCAACGGAGTCTTGCACGATGCTTGCTCGTGCTGTTCCCGCCACCGTCCTTGCTTACGGTTGCCGCGCCGGCCGACGAGTTTGGCCAGCACGAGATGGCCGTCGTTGTGCCCCTGGATGGCACTGCTGCCGTCGGTGAACCACCAGTTACAACAAAGCAGCCTCAACTCGATGCACAAGATGACCAAGCACACCTCGTGTGCGCCACCCAGGACGAAATCGACGAGAAGGTTGACTCTATCCAAAGTCTCCAGCCATACGAATCCGACGAACAACTCGATGTGGAGCCCGGAGTGCAGACTGACTTGGACGAGCCGTCCGAGCCACCAGCAGCACGCCGTGCCAACAACACCCGATGTGGCTGCTATCCGTACTGGCCCAGAACAAATCTGTCCACTGGACGCAAGATCTTCACGGCCATCGCGGGTGTTACAAGCGGCTTTTTGCGCGGTTTGTTTGGCGTTGGTGGGCCCCCACTCATGGTCTATGTTTCTCTGTCGGGACTGGATAAGAAACCCCTCCGTGCCACGGTGACTGCAACCTCGATGGTTACCCTCCCCATCCTGACGGGATATCTTCTCATTTACGAAGGTCGGTTGAAATCGGACGAGTGGCCGCGATACTTGACGGCCGTCTGCTGCTCCTGTGTCGGCCTATTGATTGGCAACTTGCTGTTCAAAAAGTTCAACACCGCCACAGTGTTGCGCTTCATCCTCGTCCTTCTCGTTGTGGCTGCGATGACGATGATGAGCTTGCCGATGATTCCCACGATCGTCTTGCTTGGCCTGCTAGCAACAGGACTCGTGACGCTCTGGCTGCACAACAAATGGCGCCAACGACAGCGCGAGCGCGCGGAGGCTGAGATTTCATTCGAGTTGTTGAGAGATTGATGTACCGTAGCGCGTGCTTTTTTTTGTAAGACCAATAACACAATGTATTCTAATAAAACAAAATGCGCTAGTACGAGTACGACTACTTTTGGCAGTACCGACATGCTTGAGTGTCACCTGCTGAACAAAACGAACAGACCACCGCAAAACAGACAAACGAAAAAAAAAAAAAATGATAGGAGAGGGCAGTGACTAGGTGAGCTCCAGGGCAAGTCACGAATGCTGAACAATCAACAAAAGAAAACGGCTGCACGCGATGCTGTACCATTTCGTCGACAAGCAGCGTGAGCGGTGCGATCGCACTTGTCGCAGACAACGCTCGGATGATGCTCAATTGCAGTGCCGCAAACCTCACACGTTTTGCAATGCAAACACTCCCACGGGTAGGATGATGCCTCGGCAACGGCAGTGACTGCCACGTAGGCACAAGCAGGGTGATCTGAGTTTTGAAACGCAAAGACTGGTGAGCACCACATCCCGCTCAACCCACAAACAGCATCGTTTTTCAGGACCATACAGCAAAGGGAGCAACTCGAACAGCATAGCGGCTTTGTTTCCGAGTCAAATCCACGCAAGCACGTCGCGCAGGCGATTTGCACGTCGTCCTTGTTCCGTGGCTTGGCTGTGAAGCATCTGAGGGCAGTCACTATGGCTTGATCAGTTGGGCCATGGTCCCAGTGAGCGTAGTGGTGCTGCAATCCGTTTGGATTCTTGTAGAGCTTTCCACAAACTGCAGCGCGAGCGATGGAATAGGAGCAACAGCAACAACGGAAACATCCAAAAAGTCATTCCAACATGCGCTCGCACAAACGCCACCACCCACCCCATCTATCAAACGAGCTTTCAAGTCACCTTTGCAACAGTATGGCCGCTCGCGTTGTAGAGGCGACATGTGGCTCAGCTCACGATCAGTGGGTCTGCGAAGCGGAAGTGCGCACAACAATCGAATCAACTCTTGCGATTCGGCTCCAGTCCATGAAGGGTCGTAAGGCGTTTGCTCAGCACCTGCGTGTGATAACGTCATGTAACGAAGCGTGTGCGCTGTTCCAACCAGGGAAGCCAGCTGCATGCGTTGCTGTAGGGTGATTGGAATCTTGTTGGCAAAATCTAGCGGGTGTTGGTGATGGTGTGTGGTGTTGATGGATGTATCGGTGCCCAAAATGTGGCCAGACTCTTGCACGATGACTGAGGGAAGCTCGATGCGGTGCAGATCGGCACGTTGGTTTCCGCTACTGCTGCTGATGCTGGTGGACGCGGATCCCTCAGAAGAATCGCTTGGACTCTGTTTGACGTCGGCCTCTTTCGATGCCGGTGGTTTGACTGGGGGAAGTATGTGAGCGGGAGGTCGTGTTGCCAGCAAGAGGGGCTCGGAGCTCGCATGTGCTCGTGAGGCACGTCGCTTGGCCTGGAGGCGACGGCGCGCTTCGACGTCCGACACGCCGCTTCCGCACGTCACCCTCCATCGCCCATCAAAAACGGCAGGGCCGTGTAGGGATGGCGGAGGCTCTGTCGTGACGCTCCACCCGTGTCGTCGGTGTCCATAAAAGATCGAGCCTGTCTGAACATCTGAGAGCGGCCATCGCATCCCGGCTGCGTGGGCCAAGTGGCGGTTCCACGTCGCCAGCGACTCGATAGCGTTCGCAAACTCGCGATTCGAGCTCCACGAGTGGCTTGCTGGCTCCCGCGGAGTCGTCTGTGTTGGCCGTCCAGCAGTCGCGGTGGCGGCAGGAGGCGGCGGTAATGGCTGGTCGATGAGACTGGCGGCAACTTGATCTGGTGCACGGCCTTCCGGTGGTGGGCACGACGCGTCCGATGGAGTGCTCTTGTCCATTGCAGTCGTCGTAGCACTCGTCGCAGCAGTCGTTGCATCAGTCTCGTCCACGCTACCACTGCCGCTGCCTTTGCTTTCGGCTGCGAATGCTAATCGTGCGTCAGTCGGCGGCGGCATGCTGCTCGCTGCAGTCGCTCCACTGGCCTCAATGTACGGCGTCCTCTTGGCGTGGCTTTCGTCTGAGCGTTGGCCATGAGCACTGCTTGAACCCGCGTCGCCATCGTCGTCCGCGGATGGCTGGTGCCGCTTGACAGCAGGAGCCGCGACGATCACCACCGCGTCCGTCCCCATCGCCGCAGCACCGCCGGCGTCCAGACCAGCGGCAGCACTCCCGTGATTCAATGCTGTTGCTGCAGCACTATCGTCGTCGGGCAGCGGTCGCTTGAGCCGAATGTCGCCGTCCATTGGGTTTTGCTGAGTTGGCAACCAAAGGAAAAAAAAAAAATGAACAATGGAAAAAAAAAAAAGGCGCCAAAATCAAACAATTCAAGTCAAAAGCCGGGGTTGTGTTCTGAGGATCATAGAATTCAGTGGTGTCCTCAGACAGCGAGAGTGTTATGGCATGAAACAGCCGAGTGGAGGAGATTGGCTGCAACGAGAGAACGGCGAGGAAAGCGCTTCAATTTGCGGATTCCGAGTCGAACGCTTGTGCTGCACCTCCAACAGTACATGTACAGTAAATTTCTAGTGGAAGCAGGTGCATTCATGATGCATGTCGTGTGCATTTCTACGCAATGCCAGGTTTCAGTACAGCACAAGGAGGTTTCCATTGAGCCTCAGTTTGACTTTTGCTCAATTTCTCGTTTCCACCACCGTTTCTCAGATCAGATCAGTCCATTAGTCTTTTTTTTTTGTCTTTTTTTCCCCTTTTTATTAGTTTTCTCGTCGTTGTTTGTGCTCAGCAACTCTTAGCCATGTCGGGTCGCGTTCAGAAAGTGATGGTCCTGCCCATCGTAAGTCGCGAATCCGCTGTTTCTGGATTGCGCGCGTGCCAAGTGCTGCGTTTTGAGGTTGGAGAGCTGAAGGGACGAGCGCGAACAGGAGGAGGGTTGAGCGAGACACAGAGAGCGAGAGCGAGTGAGTACAATGCAGAGATCGCAGAGCAGACGATCGAAGGCGCAACGTCCGCGAGTGGCACACACGAGCGAGGTCCCTCGTTTGTTGGCTTTCACTGGGCAACACCAAGTGGGGGTGGGGCAATACGGTTGGAAACGACGAAGCAAGTTGATCCAGGTGAAGGCTGTCTTCTGAAGAGAGAGCAAGCGAGGGAGAGAGAGAGAGAGAGGGATCAATGGAAGCTCACTCACTCACTCTGGTGCCTCACTCTCAATGTATGACACGGCAATCTGATGTTTTGCTTCGAGAGCGAGGAGAGACAGAGACAGAGACAGAGACAGAGACAGAGACAGAGACAGAGTGAGCGAGACAGACGATGAAGCACTGCCAATGGGATCCACACTCAATCTCCATTCACATCCACTCTCACTCTCACTTTACTGCTTGTCTGCGTGCTGGTCAACTCACACTCTTGTTGGGCCGTATTGCTGTTGTTGCTGTTGCTGCATGCTACTGTCTCCAAAACAGAACTTGATCTTCAAGTACTTGCAAACGGTACGTGCTTTGCTTTTCGGAGGTTCCTCATGGCGATGTTGCTCTGAACCAAATGGCTTGCGATACTCACTCGGACATCATGTCGTTGATGTTGGAATCTACGAGTAGAAAACCCGTGTGCAGATCTGGCTGTATGAGCAAGCTTCGATGCGCGTCGAGGGTGTCATTGTGGTAAAAGCTGAATCTTACTCTGTCGGAGCTGAACACAACGACAAAGCCTCATTCGCTCTCTTTCTCGCTTGTAGGGCTTTGACGAGTACATGAATCTTGTGCTGGATGATGCCGAGGAGCTGAACGCCAAGTCACAAACGCGCAAGAACGTTGGTACGCTGTCGAACGAACGATTGACCCCCTTTTCTTTCTCCCCCCTTTCCACAAAGTCTCACGTGTCTGGTATTGTTCCCCCAATTTTGGAATCTCTCTGTACAGGGCGGATCTTGTTGAAAGGCGATAACATCACCTTGATAATGGGCGTGAGCGCGTAAAAAGTTTCGCGCACCAGTTACAAACAAATCAACCCTTCCCTTTGCGTGTTCGTTGTCGTTGTCGTAGTTGAGTCTCAAATGCTTGTGATCGTTGCATCTCATTCGGTGTGATGGAACAACTGGATCGTCGTTGTCGTTGTTTCCATTGTCTTTCTGCATTGATCGCTGCAGTTCGTTGTAATTTTGATAAAAAACGTACCAAAAAACAAAGTACTCAAGCTGCACGGAATAGAACGATCTGAAATAACAGAAACATACAATGCGGTCCAGTCTTTATTTTTTATTTTATTTCACTTGCCCTCATTCAGCGATGAGCCAGCAGCATCAGTCGCAGCCGCAGCAGCAACGGCCTGGTGGTTACTTTGTCGATCCGAAGCGCGGCGAAGTCGGTGAACTCCGGTACGCGCACCTTTTCCACCCTCGTGCCACCCCGCTCTTACAAGACAGAGAGGACCGTCCTTCTGTTGTCTGTGTTGCGTTCCTTGCATCAGCAGAAGGCGCGGACGAGAAGCAGAGCAGCCGTTCATATTCTTTCTTTCTCTCTCTCGCTCTCTCTCTCTCGCGCTCTCTCTCTCTCTCTCGCTTACCCTTGCCTCTACCAGAGTTGCGCTCTGTACTCATCTATTGTTTCTCCATAAACCACCTTTTGCATTAGATCGTTGCTGCGAAACCCGGAAATCCAGCGCGATGTCAAGAAGCATCGACAGGTGAGACTCAGAGCCCATTGCATTGCAATCGCCATCTCCCCCTTCCACAGTGACTCTGTGGCACTGTCATGATTGGCGTCGCGTCGCGTGGATGGACGGATGACTTGTGGAGGGGGAGGTGGGGGGGGGGGAAAGCGGACGATTTGAATGATGGTTGAACAAGTCTAATGCGAATCCACTAACCGTCGTTCTCACTGTGACTCTGGTCGTATTGCAATCCACACAGGCCGTTCAAAAAGTTATTGCAACAATGACGCATGGCATTGACGTTTCGCCGCTCTTCTCGGAAATGATTATGGTAACGATTGCCCAACAACTTTGTTTGATGTACCGAAAAAAATCCAAGTTGCTGAGAAGTCGTCTCGATTGGTACAACTGCCAGGTCTCTGCCAGCAAAGACATTACGCTGAAAAAGATGGTGTACCTGTATCTGTGCAACTACGCCGAGTCCAACTCGGAGCTCTCCCTGCTGGTCATCAACACGCTGCAAAAGGATTGCAGGTTTGGTTTTTGTTTTTTTGTTGCACTGCTTCGCCTTGACTTTTTGGTTTGCAACTCTCACTCGTGCTACTCGTGCCGACCCACCCTTCTATCGCTTTTCTGTGATGTGTTTTGGCTGCTGCCACAGAGATGAAAACCCCATGATTCGAGGCCTGGCCCTGCGCAACATGTGCTCGCTGCGCTTGTCCTCGCTTCTCGAGTACATTCTGCCCCCACTGAAGAACGGCCTGGCAGATCGCAGTCCTTACGTGCGAAAGACGGCTGTAATGGGTGTTTTGAAGGTGTACTACCTCAATCAGCAAGCCATCCTTGACAGCGGCCTCGTTTCCACGGTCTACTCGTTGCTCACCGAAACCAGCCCAGTGGTGGTCGTCAATTGCCTTGTCGTGCTGAACGAGATTTTCTCCAACGAGGGCGGTACGTGTGCTTGATTTCAGTTGTTGATTGAACATGAACTGCATCTCACTTTTTTTTTTTGGTTTTTTTTTCTCGCTGCTGGTTTCCGACAGGCATCGAAATCACCAAACCCCTCGCATACATGTTCCTCAACCGCTTGCTTGAGTTTAACGAGTGGGCCCAGGGCATTGTGCTCGACTTTGTTCGTCGGTATTCGCCCACCTCCGAGGATGAAGTGTACGAGATTTTGAACGTGTTGGACTCGCGCTTCAAGCACGCCAATGCCGGTGTGGTGTTTGCTGCCGTCAATGTGTTCCTGCAAATGACAGATGTGAGCAACCTTGTCGTGTGGTGTTTGTCCTCTTGACCCAGGTTGTGGATGTGTGGCGGTGTTTGTTCCACGTTTCTGATTTATTTCGTTTTTGGTTTGCCCTTCTTGTGTTGGCTTCCTGCAAACTGGTAGAGTCTCCCGCACTTGCTGGACGATGTGTACCAACGTGTCAAGGTTCCGTTGCTTACCTTCATGTCCACGGGCACCCCCGAGATGAGCTACGTGTGCCTCCAACACTTGCACATTTTGCTGCAACGCCGGCCGCGCTTGTTCGAGTCGGACATCAAGCTCTTCTTCTGCAAGCACCAAGAACCCACGTACGTCAAGCTGAAGAAGCTTGAGCTGCTGACCGACGCTGCCAGCGTCGCCAACATCCAAGATGTTGTGGATGAGCTGACTGCCTACGTTACTGACGTGGACGTCGAAATGGCCAGCCGCTCCATTGCCGCTCTCAGCAAAATTGCCATGCGCTTTGAGTCGTGTGCCGAGTTTTGCATCAACCAGCTGATATCTTTCCTTGAGCTTGACATTAGCCACGTTTCGGCCTCCACGCTCCTTGTGCTCACCGACGTGCTTCGCAAGTTTCCCGACCGCGCAGCAGATGTCCTTCCACAGCTTTCTCAGTACGAAGCACCTTTTTTTTTTTTTTTTTTTGTGAATGTCGAGTTTTGCCATTCCATGCTCTAATTGTCGTCACTTTGCGCTTCCTTTGACTTCTAGTTGCTTGTCCTCTGTTGACATCCCGGAAGCGCGCGCAGCCATCATTTGGATGCTCGGCGAGTTTGGCGAGGCATTGCCCGCCAGCCCTTACCTGCTCGAAACTGTTGTCGAAAATGTCAAGGACGAGCCCTCGCACGTTGTGCGCCAGCAACTCTTGACTTCCTGCATGAAGCTCTTTTTCAAGCGGTATGTCGGTCCTTGTCTGTCGGGTTTTTTTTTGTTGCTTTATTCTTTTTTTTTGTTGTTTTGTTTTGTTTTGTTTTGTTTTGTTTGTTTTGTTTTGCGGTGCTAACTCAATCCTCTTCGATTGGGTAGTGCGCCGGAATGCCAATCCATGCTCGGCCAGCTGCTCGAGTACGAGGTCAACGACGAAACGCACATGGATGTCCACGATCGTGCGCTGCTGTACTACCGCCTTCTGCGCAATGATGTTGAGCAAGCTGCGCGAATTTTGTCGGTCGAGAACGGCGCTGCAGCCTTGCGCGCAACGCGCTTTGCCGAGGACGAGCTGCTCGAGACTCGCGAAAAGCTCCTGGAAGTATTCAACTCCCTCTCCGTGGTGTACAACCAAGTTCCCGAGGCCTTCCTGAGCCAGCAAGTCCCGTACACCCAGCACAAGGCGGCCTATGGCGAGCGATACTTTGCATCGCTGACCAACTCGTCCGAGGGCGGGCAGTCTACGCATGACGAGGCTTCGCGTCGTGTCATTACGCTGCAACACCAAAGCTCCACCGGAAATCTGCTAGACGTCGAGGATGACATGACCTTTGGCCTGGATCACGCAGCAGGCGATGCCTCAATTCAATCGGCAGTGCCGATGCGGGCTGCTGCTGCTGCTGCGGCGCCACACTCGCACTCGCTCCACTCGGATCAAGATTTGCTCGGCCTTGGTGCCGAGGTTGCTCCCCGCTCATCGTCTGTTGGCGTTCAACTCGTGCCCAACGCCACGCTCGATCCTCAGAACTTTGAGAACCTGTGGTTTGCCACCACCAACAGCGTAGAGGCAGCCATGACCCTTTCCGTCGTTCCGACGATGGCAGAACTGGAGCGCACATTTGCAGCCAACAACATTGCCACCATGGCGTCGAGTGAAGAGTTGGAAGCGATGCGGTTTTATTTCTACGCGCAACTGGTGAGTTGGCGAAGGGTGGTGGTGGTGGTGGTGGTGGTGGTGGTTGTTGGCGCCTGCAGAACGCGCTTTGAATGAATCGCGTTGTTGACTTTGTTCCTTTTTTTTCTCTCTCTATCTCTCGCTTTTGCTTTGATGCCTCGGCGGAAGCAGGTTACTGGCGACTACGTCCTCATAGAAGCCGTCTTTGACATTCCGTCGCAAGAACTGGCTGTCACGTTGAAAGCCGACCAAGCTCCTCTCTTGGGTGAGATGGTGCGGATTTTCAAGAGCTGTCTGATTGGCAAGTTCATGAATCCGGACGATTGATTTGATTTCTTTGGAGGCAGGGAGCGTTCACGTCCCCTGCGTGTAATGTGTGATGTGTGAAGTGTGCCATTTGTTGTTTTTGAGTGGGGATTGTGTTTCCGTTGTTCCTGCTCGTTGTTTTCTTGTTGCAGTACAGTACAGTGTGATGGAATCGAAACACGCAAACCGTTCCCTTGAATCGCTCCCATTCTCACTGTTATCATAATTCCATGTTCATTTTGTTATCGCTCAGTGTTGTCTGAGACGCTCACTCTTTTCTCAGCAAACAAGAAAAAAAATGCTCCGCTCTTCGCCGCAACTTTTCTCTCTTGGCCTTCGCCGCGCATGTGCGTCTGCAACTGTGACGACGCGCGTCGCTGCCTCTGCGTTGCCAGCGTTCCTCTCCACCAGCGCCGTCGGCCATTCCGCAGCTGCCTCGTCGACTTCGCCTGCTGCTGCTGCTGCGACTGGGACTGCGACTGGCGGTCTGAAGGTCGGTCGTTGAAATCGGAATAAACAAGGGCGACGTGCAAACCTCGCGTTTTGAAGCATCGCTACTTAGAGACATGGATGGGTGGTGTGAAACTCGCATGCTCATTCAATGCTTGTTGTTTGGTTTTGGTCCTGGTGGTCATGGTGATGGTGGTGGTGCTGGTGGTGATTGTTGGGCCGCTTGGTGCATCCGCAGGTGGACAAGGAGCTGCTGCAGCGACTGCGCAAGGAGAGCACGCTGCCGTTCAACCTGTGCCACGAAGCGCTGCTCAAGAACAACAACGACTACACCTTGGCCTCGACGTGGCTTGAGAAACGCGCCACTGAAATCGGGCGCGCCAAGATGGAAAAGCTCAAGGATCGCGTCGCGGCGCAGGGCATTGTCGCCGTCTGCGCGCACGAGGCCACTGCGGCCGTCATTGAGCTCAACTGCGAGACCGATTTCGTCGCCCGCAACCCTCTGTTTGTCAACACGGCCAAGGAGATTGCGGCAAACGCGCTCCAGGTCCACGCAGGTCAGATTCGCGCGGGGGCGTACGATCCGTCAAGCACTGCAATGTCCAAGGCCGTCGCCGATGCTGCCGACAAGGCCCGATCGGATGCCCAGGCAAGCAGGGCAGTGGGTGTTGCGACTGGCACTGCTGCGGTGGTCAGCCCACTGCCGCAGATTAAGAGCAGCGCAACGTCCGTGCATAAGGGCGAGGCCTCGACAGACGGCAGCGCCACGGGCATTCCCCTCAACCAACTGCTGCCATCGCTCATCTCGGAGCACGGACAGACCGTGTTTGATCGATTGGTGCACGTCGTCGGACGCATGGGTGAGAAGGTTGACTTGCGAAGCGCCTCCGTCCTCGATGTCAGCCATGTGACCGTCTCGTCCGGCATTCCTGGGGAAGACAAGCCGCTGACCGGCCGCGGTGTTGTCGGCGTGTATACTCACGGTGGCGAAGACAGCCTGTGCGGCGCTAAGGCCAGCGCAGTTGCTCTCGTCTCCTACCCTCCAATCACCAGCGCCACTCCCGCCGACACCGTCAAGGAATTGTCCAAGATCGCACACGGCCTCGCTGTCCATGTGCTGGCCCATGCCCCGACAGCCGTGGAGAAGGTTTCTGCAGAGCGGGCAACGCTCAAGGACGACGTCACCCAAGTCGCCGCAGACGCCATTCTCCTTGAACAGCCTTACTTTTACGACACGTCCAAGAAGGTTCAGCAAGTGCTAGAGGAAGCCGGCAAGCGCTTCGAAATGCGCCTTATTGTGCGCTCGTTTACTCGCATGGTTGCCGGCGAAGGCATTGAGGTGCCCCGTGCCAGCGGTCTTTCTTAAACTTCAGATTGTGATTGCACCGAAGCAAGGCAGACATTGTGGTCATGTTTTTTTTTGTTTTTTGAGCCTATTTCAGTCTCGTTGTACTCTCGAAATACCATTGAAACTCCAAAATGCTGTTGTTTTAACTTTTTCAGACATTCCAGTTCCAACGCTTTGAAACAATACCAAAAACATATCAATGCGCAGACAGGAGCTGATGAAACAAAAAAAGCAATTCAAAGGCATTATCGGGAGAACTGCCGTGAGTCCTTTGAGAATCGCTCGCCGGAACGGAAGTTGTGCGACTTGTTGGCCTCTCGAGCGTTCTGGTAGCCAGCGCCATAGCCGCCACCGCCACCGCGCCGTTGGACTTGGCCCTCTTTGCTTGAATTAACGTCTGAGGCACGCAACCAAAAAAAAAAAAAAAAAAAAAAAAAAAAAAAAAGAACAAGGTGCGAATGTGAGGACATGAACCGGTGCCAATGAAGACTTGGTCGATTTGGGTGTGTGCTGTCTGTACGCTCTCAAACTTACTCAATTGCACAGACGGGGGTGCAGTAAAGCCAAAGGCCTGACCGACTTGCTGCAAATCAAGCTTGGTGACATCAAAGATGGAGCGGTGAGCGTGCGAAGCGTACGCCTGCAGGTACGAGCGGTAGCCATCGCGAGCTGAGCGGTGCAGGTAATAATTCTTCTCGATGAGCTTTTCAAGCTGCAGCACACAAATGACATAAGGCCAACATGGCAAGAATTGAGCGTTGCGATACAAAAAAAACCAAAGACCAAAAAAAAAAAAAAAAAAAAAACCCCTGTCAACAAACTCCTCCATTGAACCCACCTGAGATTGAACATTGTGAATCTTGCTCACGGGGAACTCGTATTCATTCAATGGCACCTTGGCCTGCTTGAGATAGCGGAGGAATGCAAGCTCTTCGGGGAGCAAAAAGAGCAGTGCATGACCACTGCCATTCACGCCACGAGCGGTACGACCGACACGGTGGATGTACTCCTTCGGATCATCCGGGGGATCGTACTGAACAATCCAGTCAACGGCCGGAATGTCAAGACCACGAGCCGCCACGTCTGTGCAGAGCAGAATGCCAGTCTTTGCATTGCAGAACTCAAAGAACGTGTTTGTACGCTTTTGTTGCTTTTGGCGACCCTGTAAGAGAGATAGATAGAGAGAAGTAAAAAAAATACAAGTCACAAGAGTGAGCATTGATTGTGTTTCTTGAAATGTCCAACCATCCGTTGTTGCAAAGGTAGTCATGGAGCTTTTTTGCTTCCTCAAACACGCTCGTCATCTACAACACTCCATCACTTCACCCCGCCTCGTCAACAAACAAACCAAAAAAAAAAACACTCACGTGAATCTCCAGAACGGGAAGATCAATGTAGTTGAGCAGCTCGGAATGGAACTTGACAGAGTTGCAGGAAGAGAAGAAAACCATGACCTTCTTGTTCTGGTTCTTCTTGAGGAAGGTGAAGAGCAGCAAAAAGCGCTGGCCCGCCTTGCAGACGACATAGCCTTGCTCCAGGCCCTCGGCAGTGGCGACAATCTTCTCGTCATCAACGCCAATGTAGAGGGGCTCCTTCTTGAGCGAAATGCGAGCCAAATCCTCAACGTTGCGGGTCTGGGTGGCCGAGAACAGAACGGTGCGGCGCTGTGAATCCTTGGGGAGGAGACGGATGATTTGCTTCATTTCCTCCTCGAAACCGATTTCGAGAATTCGATCAGCCTCGTCGATGATGAGCATCTCGAGGTGCTTAAAATTGAAGCCCTTGGTGTTTTGCAAGTGATCGAGAAGACGACCGGGGGTGGCAATCAAAATGTTGATGCCCTTGCACAGCTTTTCGGCCTCCTGCTTGCGGTTGGCGCCACCCATCACAAGGCCAAAGGTGTGGTTGTGGTGGCGGAGCAAGTCGCGGCACACGCCGTACGTTTGCAGCGACAGCTCGCGGGTGGGCGAGATGATAATAACACCAGTGCCGTTTCGTGGCATAAAGTTGAGCTGGGACATGAGCTCGATCGCAGGGATGAGGAAGGCGAGCGTCTTGCCCGAGCCCGTCTTGGCGGCAGCGAGCAAATCCTTGCCGGCAACCAGCGGCGGGATGCAGCGGCGTTGGATCTCAGTCATGTGTGTAAACTTCATGTCCGCGATGGCTTGGAGCGTCTTGTCCGACACGGTGCCAGCGAGCGACGAGAATGGCACGCGCGAGGTCGCGGTGCTGCCCTGAACTGGCGCGTCGGCGCCGCCGGCAAGCTCACGAGCCCACTCGTCGCGTCCAGCGCTGCTTTCAGTCTGCATGGGCTGGGTGTCAGAGTCGTCTTCGGCTTGTGCATCGTCGTCCTCGTCCTCGTCTTCCGGCTCTTCCTCCTCGAGCTCTTCCTCCTCGAACTCTTCCTCGTCGTCGAACTCGTCTTCGGGCTCCTCGTCCTCGTCGTCCTCATCTTCGGAATCGGCAGCCGGCTGGGCGACGGGGGCCTTGCCCTTGCCCTTGGCGGCAGTGGCGGCGGCGGCGGCAGGGACCACATGGGTTCCGTTGGCCTTCTTTGCGCCGTGCTGGCCGTTCGCCGCAGCCTGGACGCCCTTGCCGTTGGATCCATGCTCCTTGGCATGGCTGCTGGCCTTTGCGCCGTGCTTGGCGGAGGAGGCAGCGCTGGCGGTGGGAGCGGGTGCGGCGCTGGCGGCCATGTGGACCGCGCTCGAGGTCTTCACTTGCTTGCCCTTCTGCTGCTGCTGCTGCTGCTGCTGCGATCCAGCCACCTTGGTGGCCGCAGCTGGCTTGGTGGTTGCAGGTGCAGATTGCGCTGCAGTTGTCTGCTTCTTGACCATTGTCTTGGTGAAGGAAGCAGAAACCCAA